CTCCCCCACATACGCGCAGCATGATTATAGATTATGAAAGCCAAAGACACAGGAGATACAACTACAAGCAAGCGTAGGAAAGAGCTGTGGGATAGGGGTTGCGAGGGGGGAGGAGGCAAGGGAGGAGGAGGGTGGCGGTGGTGTGGGTGTTGGTTGTTGGTTGGGTGGGTGGGTATATACTGCGTGCTGTAATTTGCGAGGGGGATAAGGAGAAGGAAGGGAAGGAAGAGGGATGGAAGGGGGAGGTAGAGGGGATGGAAGGGGGTGGTAAGGGGGATGTAGAGGGGATGTAAGGGGGGATGTAAGGGGGGATGGATGGAGTCTTCTGTTGGGCAGACTTTATTATTTATTTCTTTCCTTACGTTCTTACTTCCTTATTCCGATGATGAATGAATAAGAAATACTGTATGGGATTAACAGTCACGTGTCCATCACCCTCATATACAACAGCACAGTATGGCCATACGTCATATTCTCTCAGTATCACCATGTCACGTACATACACCCAGCCCCCCCCTTCCAAAACCCCTCCTTTCTCAACAAACCCCCCAAGAACGTGCTCACGCAAGATTCGCCTGCGTCGCAAAGCCGATCCGCGGCGCCGCCTGCGACACATCATGCACGACATACTGACTCTTAAGGAAGATATCCCCCAGAATGCTGAACCCAATCCCCGTATTCCGCTGAATGCCGCCAAAGCAGGTACTCCCAGACGCGGGGGCGTAGTTGATGTACTTGCCCGGCACACGATGGGAGGTGCCGCCGATGGTGAGGGAGAAGTCGGGGAGGGCGGCGGAGCAGGCAAAGACGTAGCCGCCGTAGGTGCTGGAGTAGGCGGCGCCGGCGACCTTTGCGTAGTAGGCGGAGACGATGGCGGAGGGGAGGTAGAGGAGGGTGGTGCCGGTGTCGGCGATGGCGTCAAAGGAGGAGGCGACGGGGGCGGCGGAGCCGACGGTGTAGCCGCCGGCGGTGAATTCCCAGAAGCCGTTTTGGGTGTTGACGGTGACGTAGGAGATTGCGCCGGTGTATTTTGCGGTGTCGAGGTAGCCGAAGTCGTAGGTGCCGGCTTGGTGGTACTTGAGGGTGACGGCGAAGAGGGGCGTGGCGAGCTGGCTTTTGACGGTGTCGAAGAAGGTGGTTTGCTTCTGGGGGGAGACGGTGTTGATGGTGGAGAAGGCGAGGCCGAGGAGGCCGTCGTCGTTGGTGTCGGATGAGAAGGAGGACGAGACGGAGGTTGCGGCCTCGACGGCTTGCGAGGTGGCTGTTACGCCTCCGACGACGACGGTGTCGGCGTAGACGTCGCCTGAGGCGCCGGAGCCGTCGCCGTAGGATATGTTCCAGGTGTAGCCTTGCTTCTTCTTTGATGCAGTGGGCTGATACACGGCGTGTCCCGACTGTTGAGTGGCCGGTAGCTCCGTGGAGAAGACCCAACTGTGATCTGGTAAGTATTTGGTTTTCATATCATGGCCTATTTCGTTTCTTGGACCCCATGACAAGCCATACAAGAATTCCGACACTATGACTGAGACTGGGGTGATAGAGGAGACTTACAGGTCAGCGCTACCAGTGTCAAAGTCAAGATCAAGAGTCTGACTGCCAACCTTGACCGGGCAGAGGTAGAGAGAGTCGTATTGATCCTCAGGAGTAGCAGTCACACTACCGCTGGCAGCAGCAGCGGCAGCCTGAACATCTGAAGGTGCCTTGGCGCCATACTTTGCGTATGTCCTGGACATAGCAAGAGGACCGACGCGCGGAACCTTCTTGGCAGACTGGAACTGTTGGATCGTAAATGAACCACGTTTCTCGACCGGACTGGCAACCACCGCGGTCAAAAGGACCGCAGCGGCCGTGAGAGAGAAGATAGAAGGCATCGCGAAGTTTCGATGTGTCTAGCCAGTGGAAGAGTAATGGAAAAGGCAGAACTGCTTCGTGATGATTCTCAACCATTCGGGGGAAATGGTAACCTCCATATATATATGCATTTTTGGTCCGCAAGGGAGGGGCGCTTCTTGCCTCTGCAAGCATGTCTGGATAGCAGTCATTGTGGATAGATAGGACCCAAAATGAAGCCATTCGCGAAGTGGACCATTCATCGATCAGAATTAGAGACTCGGGTGGATCCGTAACCAGTATAAATTGGCCTCGGTAGATTGAGGTGTCTTGAGTTTCTTGAGATCGTCGCCCGCTACCTGCTGTATCTGGCCATGGTTTCCGTCGTTGGTATGGAGTTGTGCAAGCAAGGCTAGAAAACAATCAAGCCTTCTCACAAAGATGCAAGCTTTATCGCCGCGCCCGCACCCTGCGCCATTCGCCTTGTCTGGCGCCACACGCAGGGATTAGTGATTGATTGTGGGAATCTGATAATCTGTGAGATTGAAACACCAGGCTGGAATGGTTATTCGGAATGGAGGGTATGCATCGCCGGCGCTAGTCTTTCCTCCTGGATAATGCAGTGATTACTCAGGCGCTCGAGGAGGTGCTTCTTCTATTGCTGGAATGTGCTTTTGCCTTCATTGGTCAAGTGGAATCATCTTAACGACTTGCAAAAGTTCGAGAAGACTGTTGCGGTCTCTCGCAAGAGCCAAAAGCACGCGCTTCCCATCAGTGTCCGGTGGACAGAGTGATTGCACAGCCGGTGGGTAATATTTCTGGGGCCTCTGAATCCGAGACTGAAATTGATTTGCTTAATCCATGATAAGCAGGTCAAGCGACGTGATAGGGACAGAAATGGCCGTAGACCGCAATAGAACTACTTGCTTGTTTTCGCAGGGTCCACGCAGATCATTGCACGATACGACAAGATTGAAGTTGATCTATCCATAGCCAGATGATGTCCCCACTCTTGCGCGATCTCCACCTGGCAGGCGCCGGCGGCGGGAGTTGCATGACGCTTTGATACCGCATCGGATCCATAGATATAGTAAGTCTCCATACTGTATTAGCGACTCGGATTCGTATATGATTCCAGGCTTGCGTACAGACCGTGGCTTCGCTTCTAGACAACTTCTCCGCCCTTTGTCTGGATGAAGACAAAACGAGGTCTATAGCTAGCAACTTGTGGCCGGTAAGGTGAGTATCCGGTCGAGCATGCTAACTTGTCTTCTCCCATCAACGCGATCCATTACGCAGCCACCGACGAGAAGCGCCCTACAGCGTCGCGACGGTGGATTGTCGATGATAAATGCGGCAGGTGGGCAGAATCAAAGACGTGTAAACGAAGCGACAGATAAATGTGGATTTCTTTGATCTCCCATGTAGCACCAATCGTGTCGTGTATTCGACATGGTTTGCGGTCATCAGCAACAGTAGCAGTAGTATTAGCAGATCCATCTCTCAATGCAAAGACGCCGGCTTCTACCAGCCTAGCGCTGCAGTCCTCTATATCTGGAACCCGCCAATCATACTATCTGAAGCACGATCAAGCGACACAGAATTGCGTAGTTTAATAGATGATGCGATAGCATCTGACAAGCCTCGCTTAGGCATGACAAGATTGCTTGTCATGCTTGTCAAAGCTTGTGTCGTTAGTTGCGAAACCTCATTCCTATAGTCTGGTTCGTTGCAGCTTCTACTGAGCTCATAATGCATCTGGTGGTTGTGGAGACTCTGATGGCCTTGGTGCCTAGACTGTTTAGCCCCTTCGTAGCCGCTTTTCTTCTCAAAGAACTTGACGACGACTTTCCTCTTTCGCAACAATCGCCGAGAAGTGTACGCCTAGATTCATGCGCCATAGGCTCATAGTCAAGTCACTCAAGCTTTGCAAGATTTCTTGTCCTGCATATACTGGGATATTTCTACTGCAGGTCCCAGATCTACCAAGTGCTTCAGGGGAGCAGTGGAGTACCCGTATGATGGCGCCATTGAGAACATGCTTCATGACGCACAGTGTCTGAGTTCATATTCAAGCGAGGCTGAAATGCTGTCTCAATGGTTTCGGTAAATACCGAGGATGTTGACACTGAGTAATGCACATCCTCATGATGTTGGCACATCCTTCCTATCCTCGACAGCCTCTCGCAGACCTTCCAAAGCAGCAACATATTTACTCTTCATTTCGTCGCTAACATGCTCTGCTAGGTTGATTGAAATCCTGATCACCTTCCTCTTATCGACTCGTCGGATCTGACTTCCTTTTGCAATCTCATGCCAGAACCATCGGGCTTCTGTCCTAGTGAACAGCGTACATGCCTCACCTGAACGTTCAGCTCTTGCTGTGCGTCCGATGCGGTGGACATAGCTGACGACACTCCGAGGTATGTCGTAATTGATGATATGTGTCACATTAGGAACATCAAGACCTCTCGATGCCCGATCAGATGCTATGAGAATCGATTTCTTCCCGTTGCTAAACTCTCGAAGAACCTTCTTTCCAACTGTCGTCGTGGACGACTTGGTTAAAACTCCCGTCATTGCGGCAAATTTGCTATCGAGTGCTCCCAGTACGTGGGCTAGTCGAGAAGCATTTTCGTTGTTATTTGTAAAGATAATCAATCGTGGTCGACTTCTAGCTTCCTGCGCGATGGGATCTTCTGGGGGAGCCGTATGCTGATTGATCTTTGCGTCCGAGTCACTTCCCGAAGAGTCTTCTGCTTCGTGGCTCGAAGAGTCCTCATCGCTACTAGAGTCTGCAGAGTCCTTGGGTAGCTTGGATGTAGGTTTTTTCTGACTAGCCTCGGCCTGATCTTCTGCAGGTGAGTCAACGAAGACGTTGTTCGAGAGAAGGTGTAGCAGATAGAGGGGCTTTTTGGACCCATCCCCCACCGAAAGAGCATACTCGGTGAGTGTTTTAGGCAGATCGAAAGTTTCGTTGTCAGTCAGAATCTGCTCGGTGCCACCCTTTCCACCTTTTTCTTCGCCGACAACCAGCAGCCTTGGCCTAGAAAGCCTGAGTGCGCTCAATTTAGCTAGGTCTTTAGTCATCGTGGCACTCAGAATGATTTTTGTCAGATCCTTTCGCGCCTTTGGGCGATCCAGGGTAGCAAGCATGCGCTCGTACGCACTGAGTAATCCTTCAGGCTTCTGTGCATCCAGCTGAGACATCAAGACCTCTGTCCAGTCTTGAAAACTTTGATCTAGCAGACGGTCTGCTTCGTCAATAACGAGCCATTTCAAATCGTATAGGTGAAAGCCCCTGGTGGAGCGTATATGGTCAACGAGTCGCCCAGGGGTACATATCAGGATATCAACGTTGGACTCATATATTGGGACGTGACCGGGGAGCATATCTCGACAATCTTCGAGAAGCTCGTCCTCCTCGAGAGAGCCCGATTTCAGCACTTGGAGAGCTTTATCGTTCAGTATTTTGGCTGCGTCTGGGTCATATCGCCTTCTCTTGCGAACAAGAGACCTCTGTTCATCATGAAGAACCTGATTGCCTACAGCAGTTCCAATCTTGAGCCCCGTTTTTGCGGCGCAATCTTCGGCAACCTTTTGAGCTTGCGTCACCAACTCTCTTGTAGGAACAATCACTAAACCACGAAGCTTGGTGACCAAGCTATGTTTCAGGCTCTCTACCATTGGGAGCATATACGCAAGCGTCTTGCCCGAACCTGTAGCTGCAGACACACAGATATCACCCATATGCTTGTCTTTTCCCGGTGAGATGAGTGGTATCAATCCAGCCTGTACCGCGAAGGCTTCATCATAGCCAAGCTTTCCAAGATGTTTCACTGTATGATCGTCTAGATGTAAATCTGAAAACGTAGTTCTGGCGGATGACGAGATCTTGATTGGGTCAGCCAACCAAGAAGGCAGTGCTGAGAAGGTCGGTTTGGCCTCCACCTCTGGAGGCTGCTCGGGCTGAGGGATGGGCCCTAGATCTACATGAATGTAAGCATTGCATCATGCCTTGTATATACATATGGAATGTACCTAGAAGTTCTACTGGTGGCTCAGTCGCACTCGTATGCGCTTCGGTCGCAATTTCGACTCTCCCACTGCCACGAACGGCCTCCGTAATTCTAGAGGAGCGCTCAAACTTGGAGAACACAGCCTTAAATTTGTCACTGCGAGATATGTCTTGCTGCTCGTTCGGTGCTTCAGCAACGGGATGCTTAAGTCGTTTCCGCGTCGCATCTTTCCCGTCTTCAGCTTCCCTCGCTCGCTTTTTCCTTTTGGTATGCAGATGCTCGTCCTGCATAGGGTCGCGGCCCTCATCTTTCAGCGAAGGCTTCGCTTTAGTGTCATTTGCCTTGCGCTTGTCCTTTGCTTTCTTGATTGACGTAGGAGTCGCACTGGATTGAGTCGCCAAGTCGTCGGAGGCAAGCTTCGCGACGGGAGCAGTGGCAACTGGCGGTACATACCGCGCATATAGTTGGCCTGCCATTACGCTGTCGCCCAGATTAGAGGAATGATTTCCACAATGAGAGACACTCTCACAACTATTCCAAGAAAAAAAGGTTTCCCGGTATTAACCCGCGGAGCGGATGCTCACCTCCGCCTTTGGTGCTTGGCATCTACGCTGGACCACTGCATTTGGCGCTTCGCAGTAGAAGCGCAAGTTATCGCGCGTGCTGTTCGTCTGGATGATACCACGATGGCCACATCTTCTCCTGTACCTATACACCATATGTCGAAAGACGATACAGAATCACAATGCGGTACAACATTGCGTACGTGCCGACAACGCGACGCTTCGAATTGAGCTAATTCGCATACTACAGCATGATCAGTGATTATTTCTTTCCTCAACCAGGCATGCCACTCTTAGAGTCTTGGAGGAATTGTTGACTGACTGGGCTGCAGGAGGTGTAGAAAGTCACATATACCAACTCTCGAGCGTATGCTGATCGAATACTTGTTCCGTTCGAGTAATAACACGGAGTAATAGAAACTCATAGACCGAGGGCACAAAGTGATCATAATCACTCATGCATACAAAGGCCGAACCGGTGTTCGGTACCTCACGAATGGTCTGAAAGTCTACCATGTTCCGTTCTTCGTTATTTACCGCGAGACGACGTTTCCGACTGTCTTTTCCTTCTTCCCCATATTCAGAGATATAATCATTCGGGAACGAATCGAAATTGTACACGGACATGGAAGCTTGAGCAGTCTATGTAATGAAGCCATCCTACATGGGCGGACCATGGGACTACGTGCAGTCTTCACAGATCATTCTCTTTTTGGGTTTGCGGACGCTGGTAGCATTCTCACAAACAAATTGCTCAAGTTTACCCTGAGCGACGTCGACCACGTCATATGCGTTAGCCATACTTGGTGAGATCACGAACAATAATGACTTTCTGGGTATTAATGTGAAGCAGCAAAGAAAACACAGTCCTGCGTGCCTCTCTGGACCCCTTGATGGTCTCAGTAATACCTAATGCAGTTGTCGCTGAGAACTTTCGGCCGTTGAATTATGTAGAGCCATCAGAAGATGGTCAAACAGGTACAAGACTTCCACCAATCAACCTCCTTGGACCGGATGACACAATCACGATCGTGGTAATTTCCCGCCTATTCTACAATAAGGGCACAGATCTTTTAATTGCGGCGATACCTCGCATACTAGCTTCACACAAACATGTACGTTTCATCATTGCCGGCTCTGGACCGAAGGCCATCGACCTGGAACAGATGGTCGAACGAAATGTGCTTCAAGATCGTGTGGAGATGCTTGGTCCCGTCCGCCATGAGGAAGTCCGAGATGTGATGGTACGTGGCCAGATATACTTGCACCCTAGCTTGACTGAAGCTTTCGGTACTGTCATAGTCGAGGCTGCCAGTTGCGGCCTGTACGTTGTCTGCACCCAGGTGGGCGGCATCCCGGAAGTCCTTCCTGCACGCATGACTCAATTCGCAAAACCTGAAGAGGACGACTTGGTTGCTGCAACTGGCCGGGCTATCGCTGCGCTTCGAGCTAATAAAGTTCGTACGGAGCGGTTTCACGATCAAGTTAAGATGATGTACTCATGGACAGACGTAGCAGCCCGTACAGAGCGAGTATATGAAGGGATATCTGGTGCTTTGCCCGAAGAGGAGTTCTATGGTATACATGCCGCCGGTGCATGGACTGCTACGCGAGGCCGTGCTGGAGTGCAGAGTTTTGCTCTCATGGACAGATTGAAGAGATACTACGGCTGTGGTATCTGGGCCGGCAAGCTTTTCTGCCTCTGCGTGGTCATCGATTACCTCATCTTCGTCGCGCTCGAGATGATCTATCCAAGATCAGGCATAGACATTGCGAAGGACTGGCCGAAAAAGCGGATTGATGGCTCACCAAATCGGGACAAATTCGCGAGCCTCAATCGATCGAGAAGTAGTCGACATCGAGATAAGCGATAATGGCATCCACGCGTACCTGCTCTATCTATCAACGGGCACATTCATCTCGTCCTATGATCAGGATACGAATAGTCGGACCCGATTATGTCTGCAGTCTCACCCTGTCGAATGAAAGCGACCGGTCCTCATCTAGTGACATGGCAAAGCACACTCGGACAAAAGAGCGTACCTCACAGCAACCCTGTGGGGTATATACGTGCATATCAGGTTCGCGTTAACCCAAGCGACTCCAATACCACAAAGAATATGTTCTTGGCGCATTCGCTCGTTCTAGACTCAGAAGTCAAGAGCACGAGTCACTATGGCCGGAGCTTCGTATAACACAATATCGGGATGTATAACTTGATGTTTGACTTAGCTATCTACTCCCAGTAGAAAGAGTAGTATTCCATCCCCATAAACTCATCCGTATAACTACCACCCTTACCCTCTCCCGCAGCCCCGGCACAGACAATTAGCGGCAGAAAGTGCTCACTACCATGCCGGGGATGCATCTCATAGCTGTTAGGCCACTTTCGCCAGTCTTCAAGCTTCGTCTTGCGTGCCTCGACGTCCGGCTCCAACACACCGTCCGATACTGCATCACTCCATTCCTTGTTTCGCCCACGGAAATCGGGATTATGAGCAGCTCCGCTAAACATCAGGCGCAAATTATGGAATGTTGCAAAACCAGAGCCAATGATTGCAACATTCGAGTCGCGCAGCTTGGAGAGCGCTTGACCCATACGGTAGTGGTCTGCAGGAGACTCAGAGTCGAGCACGGAGAGCTGGACTATGGGTACGGTTGCGGACGGATGGATCAACATCCTGTGGAACTGAATGAGCCTTGTCACTCTGGCTCATGGAACGTATATCTTACATCGGGATGAAGACTCCATGGTCCCAGCCTCTCTCATCATCCATATCTGGCGTGAATCCTTGGCTTCTTAGTGCGTCTGCGACTTCTTTTGCAACCTCTGGCGAGCCCGGCGCATCGTACTTCAGCTTATACGCCTCGGGCGGGAAGCCTCCGTAATCGTAGTATAGCTTGTGCTTTTTCTCGGAGGAGATGGTGGGGTTTCGCTCACTCCAGTGGGCGGTCACAAGGATGATAGCCCGTGGCGCATCTGGGGTGTTCAGCCGTAGAAGCTTCGGCACTTTGGTCTGCAGAGATTGCACAATGGCCTTGTGTGATGGGTCGCCGAGGACAGGCATGGGACCTGTAGGCATATCAGCTTTCTTGCGAATGTACTCAGTGAACACTGCAGCATGCAGGGCGCTCCTGTGAGGGTAACCGTACCGCCTCCGTGTGAGATCGAAATGACTGGTGCGCGCGTCATATTTGTCGAACACTTGAGTGTATCGTGTAGTTTGAATGCTTGGGACGAGATATTACTGCCCATGAGCTGGTGGTCGAATGTTGATATGGTGACTGTAGGGTGGATGCGGCTGCTGAGTGCGATGATATGAGTCAAGATACTGGCGGTGCGAATATTCATGCCTCAATCAGGTCGAAGCGGGGTTTTCGAAGAGACAAATGCCATGCTTCGTGATCTTGGAGACACCGGTCAATGCATGGAGAGTCTGAAACCAATGATTGGGAATATACGTGAGTTTGTAAGAGCGGAATTGATCCGTCGGAAACTCGGGATCCATGGCGGGATCAGGCCGTGTCGACCTGACCTAAAAACGATTCCGGCCACTGGTAGCTGTAATAAAACAACTTCATCGTTCCCATTCTTAGTCTAAAACTGTGAAATCATTTATAATATAGGCAATCAAAACTCATGATAGTACCATAGCTTTCCAAGACTCTAACTTAGGCTATAGCGCAGCATGATGGTGTCTCTTTGACCCGACATTCCACTCAATGAAGAGCTCTATGCGGCACATGGAGAACGTTTGAGGTATTTTGCGACGATTTGCGAAGTCGGCTCGTTAGCTTCCTGCGGTATACCCTCGACATATACGTCGGACTTGCCAACTCTGCTTCTTTACATTACCTGAACGCTTTCTAAACAGTGTCATTGTTTTGGTACCCCAAGGACTTGAAAATGCAGCTGGAAGACCGTTTATAACGCTTCCCTGGATCCAATGCTGCTCCCATCTTGTATCTTGGACCAAACGCGACGCATTGTGTCAAAAGGTCCTTGGGCATGTCGGCGATGTGAACGCGCGGTCGCGTGGCACAGGGTACCATCGCAATGAAGACTTATTCGCTGACTATGCACAAGGACAGAACAGCGTCTCGCATTACTTGCTGCTCTCAGCCAGCAAAGACGATAGTATCGCACGCGTTGAGATTATATCTCCAAAACCGACGCTCATCGCAACAGTGTTTACGGTTAGGTACAGCTCCATCAAATGATCACATGGCGATTGTTTTATCGAGTCCGAATACACCGAATCCTTGAGGCGGAGTTTCAATTGAATCGGTTCATTTCGAAGAATTTAATCCTGGCGCCTCCATGAGTATAGGAGAACAGAGCGTACCGAAACCGAACTCGCAATCGCATTCCAGCTAGGATTTTAGAGCAAGACCACTAGGCCTGCCCAAGCAGCTTGGCCCCCACGCATTCGCTTTCTAAAACAACTATCACGACTGCTGAATCTGCTAGGCACGACGGTCCACCATTGTAATATGGCTCGAAGAGGTTCATCAACAACGGGGCGAGAGAGGATCTTTGTCTTGTCGACCTACATTACAAGAGACTCTGGGCTTAGCTCATTGACCATCTTACAGTCTAGTCGTGCCCGCGTTATACGATTCAGCGAAGTAGCTGCTACGGTTTCTTTTGTGGTAACATCCACTCATGATATTCGGCGTGTAAGCGTACGAGGCCTAAGCAGCAGCTCAGCCAGGGTCCGATGCCCCCAAGGATCCATGATCCTCGAGACCTGAGAACATCATGTTCCCGCGCACGAAAAACGTCAACCATAATCAAGTTCTGGTTGACTGGCGTGTTGGCCAGCTCCGAATATTATTGGCTACTCGTTCTGATCAGGATCATTCAAGTAGACGGATTCCGGGGGTAAGCGCGAAGAGACACATCGCAATTGCTGACACGCCAAGTAAGAAGATGCAGGGCCCAGCAGCATTCTATTGGAGTGCTGCCCCAGCCCCACGGCAATCTCTTTGCCCGCAGGCAAGAAGACTGGGGTTTGAGACTTGCCATGTGGTTTGGTAAGCAGCGAGCGAAAGGTCTATTTTTGGTACCTGCAAGTCTATTTCTCGATCGACATTAGCGAGACTCAGTAACTTCCAGAACTAGTCCTTCGCGCGCCTATCACAGCTTTGGATGCAACGGCTCATCCCGCACCTTTCATCTTTAATTCACAGCTCGCATTCGGTTTCGGCCGCTTGTATTCCGATCCTCCTGAAGAAAAGTTCGAGCCGTGCTTGTGTTGCGGTGGAGAATTCCTCAGAATTATGGCTAATTACAACTGAATATTTTGGATATCACAGGTTCGCTGCGGTGATGCCAGACCTGAATATGGCATGAGAAGCAATGCGGATGAATGCATTCCCGAAAGAGATATGGAGAATCTTACTGAGCCACAGCCACGAAGAAAGGGACCAGCTTCTATCAAGCATAATACTAGTGGCTCATCCTTGGTCCGCTCACTAAGTCGTGGAACGCGAGACCTAGCAGTCAGACCGTGCCGTACAATGCCTCCTTCAGCTGCGGAATCTCGCCAAGCTAGAGCTAGCCACACTATCAGCCTTCCTAGAACCTATGTATGTACTACTCAATGATGAGAACGCCCTTAAGCTTTCAATGTGAGGGTCATCTCATGTGTATAAGTAGCAGCTGGTAAGTGGCGGCACCGTTTGGCTATTATCAGCCGAAATAACATATATCGACACAACTTCTTGCCATCTCCTGTTGCCTTATCATTTCCTTGCTTCTTTCGTTGTCGCACGATCGTTTCTACCAGGTATCATCGAGTGTCTCTACCTTCTCAGGCACATTTATAGCTCCATTTAACACGTCATATCATAATGAAGGTCTCTAGCCTTGCATTTGCTGGTCTCGGTGGCCTCGTGGCCGCCGACGAGCTAGACAAAAGGTACAAGACTAATGTTGAAGTCGAGTGTCATGCAGAGACAGTCACTGTCTGGGGGAATGGCAACGGGAATGGACAGCAACAACACCACGCCACTTCATCCATATGGACTGAGGGAGGTAGCGTGACGTCGGTCGACTACCAATGGGCAGCAACGTCAACCTACTTGCCTTCATCGGGTGTCTTCCAAAACCCATACGCACCTAGCGAGATGCTCACCGCTCCTGGACCTATGTGGACGAACGTAAGTCACGAGCGTTAGTAGCATCCTTAGGCTTAGCTAACAACATTAGATTGAATACCCTAAAACCGTCGCCCATGTATGGCCCACAGGTCCTGGTGCTGAGAAGGATGCCATTGAAGTCGTTTTCATTGATACGTGGATCGAGCACAAGGCCAATGTATACATGAACGTGGAGCAAGGTTCTGTCATTTCTACGAAGACTGATGCGGTCACATACACGCCTACTCCGCCTCCACCTCCAGCGCCTACAGGCGGCTCTCCTATCCAGGCTGTAGGAACAATCGCTCCCGGTTTACCAGCTCAACCGTCGGACCAGCCACAGGGCAAGACCATCAACGTCGAGCTCAAGGCCGAGCAGATCGATGGTAAGACTGTCGTTCACTACGTTCCGGATCGTGTAGAGGCTGCGATTGGTGACGTTGTTCTCTTTCACTTCAAGCGTGCTGCCCACTCCGTCACTCAATCGACCTTCGATACCCCCTGTACTCCCCTCAAGAACGGCGATATTAACGTTTTTGACACCGACCTCATTCCGAATCCGGATAACGCAGAAGGCGAGACGTTCCAGCGAGCATTCGTGGTACATGACACAGCACCCAAGTGGTTCTACTGCAAGCAGCAGAATGCCAATCACTGCGGTCAAGGTATGGTATTCGGCATCAATCCCAAGGATAAGATGGATGCCTTCATACAGAAGGCTAAGGATCAAAATGGCTCCAAAGTTTCTCTGCCTGTTCCTGCATCCGCAACTCCGGAACCCACTGCTGCCTCCACCGTTGTCTCGTCTGTTGCCACGGAGACAGCAGCATCTTCTGCGGTCGTCGAAACTCCCTCTGCCATTAACACCGGTGGTCATGCAAGCTCGACTGTCATTGTGCGTGGTAACGGCCAAGACATCCCTTTCCAATACACGCCGCCATTCGTACAAGGCCTCAAGGCCGGCGACGAGCTCATATTCGACTTCCGCGCCCGCAACCACACCCTCACAGAATCCTCCCTTGCAGATCCTTGCAAGCGTAAAGAAGGAGGCGTTGACACCTTGTTCGCCAATTTCAATCCTGACAACCAAGCTGGGAAGTTCCTTTTCACCCTGAAGATTGAGTCCGACCAGGCACGCTACTTTTACTGCAAACAAGGCAATGGAGGTGCCAATGGTCACTGCAAGGCTGGCATGGTGTTTGGCGTTAATATTGATCAGGGTGTGTTCGATACGTTTGTGCAGAATGCGAAGAACACTCCCCTGTCTGCGAAGTTCAGATGATAGAGGTTTTGTGGTACGTTAAGATGTGTCATGGTTATATGTAAATAGATGACGAGCGATGCGTCGGAAGTAGATTTGCATTCTGTTGGAGTTGGAGAGCAGCGATTTTGAACCTTTTACGTAGTGAATTTCTATGTCAACGATAATTCAGCCTCAGGCGCCAAAACGCAGTCTAATCCAGGCATGAACACTTTCTGCCTGAGGCAATAATAATGCCAAACACCTGCGCCATGGCCAGGTTTGCTCCCTTGATATGACGCAAATTTCAACATTCAGACAAGCGACACCAATATATTTGTCCAATATCGATATATTTCCGCTCAATATAGATGAAAATTGTTATCATATCGAGAGACATGCCAGGCAAAACGAACTCAAGCACGACGACGTCATTCTGCCCCGGCCCGGCGCCAGTCACGAGGATAACGCGGCAGCGGCATTTATAACGCATTTCTCGACAATGCCATGTACTGTATTGTCGCCCGCGCCGGCTAGCGGGCGTAACTCACGGCACCAATGCCCTTGGAAAGTGGCCATGAGTGGATCATTGAGACCCAGAACATCAGAGACTTCTGCCCTACGAAATGGCGTTGTAGAAGGCTCCAGTTTCGCCACAATTCCTGCCAATCCGCGCTGCTCGGGAGCTCGTCTATGTTGTATGGTTCGTTTGCTGTGTATAATCCCTGTCGCCACTTACTTTCACTCTCTCACAACGGGATGGATAACATGGAACTTGGGTGGGGGTAAGTCTCGCAAGAACGACCGAGACAAACTCGATAGACCTGCTGGCTCCTCCAAGACTAAAATCATATTAAAATCTCACCGTCGCCCCCGTCTTTCTCCCTCCTTTTCATCTTCTGCTCATCACTATCACATTATTTGCTCGTCCGGCACAACGATTGCGTTGTTTGCAGACGGAAACACACGTTAGCGCCCGTCACTATCATCGCTACATCCATACGCCGCTCGAGCTTGAGCAGAAAAGCGGCATTGTCACCACGACACGTACACGAGAAAAATCGAATACATCGGTCTGATTCTCATAGTAGGCCTGGAATAGTGTCTACTCTGGCGCTCTCAACTCTTGTGCGAGATCGACTACTTGAAATATAGAGTTCTCTCTCTGCATAGACACGATCGCGCACCTACATCATGTCGAATAAACCCATCTTTGTAGCAACCCATCCGCGGGCTTGCTCGACCGCTTTTGAGCGAGTATGTTGCCGTCGACATTGACGAGACCCTTGACCGATCCCGGCACGAGTCGTGAATTTGACATTCTACAGGTCTTCATGACTCGCCGTGACATCCTACAATGTGTCCACGAACCTTTTGGAGATGCGTTCTATTTCGGTCCCGAACGTCTAAGTGACCGTTACGAACAGGATCAGAAAGCCAGGGAAGAGAGTGGCTTTGAAGGCAGTACCTACAGAACCATTTTTCAGAGAATAGCGAAGGAAAGCACTGAGGTAAGTCGCTTGACGCCGTGCGTGTCATCTGGCACACAAGCATGAAGACTTTCGATCATTCCGTCTGAAGCAAGGTTCCTACCTCTTGTATATGTCTGCTCAACCTGCAATATGGTCAGAATCTGGTGTCCTTATGGCGTTTAGTCATTGACGCACGTGATATTTCCATCATAAGCCAAAAACATGGATTGAAAGCCGTTCTTTGTTTCTATTTCGACCCCATCGGTTACACTGCGCATAGTCACACGAACTCGGATGAATCATGACCCTATTAAATGCAGCTGCTGATTCTTACAGGGTAAACGGTTGTTCATCAAGGATATCACGCATTACCTTGTCCCTCCAAATGGCAAACCAGCGACGATTGCACCATCACTTGTCAACTACAAACGAGGTGTTGGTACAACTCAGGAAGGCCTCCCAGCACCGGACGGGGAGCCTTTCAAGGCTAAAGCAGTCAACATTGCTCCATATCCGTATGACACGAATTCAGAGGAGGCAAATCCCTCGGTCGTTCCTGAAGAATTACTGAAACAATTTCACTTCACTTTCTTGATTCGTCACCCTAAGTTCAGTATTCCCTCATACTGGCGATGCACAATCCCACCATTGGATGACGTTACTGGTTTCTACAATTTCATGCCCTGCGAAGCAGGTTACGACGAACTCAGGCGCGTATTTGACTACCTTCGCGAGCGTAATATCGTCGGGCCCAGGATCGCTGGACACACGGAGACCACGAATGGTGACACGAACGGGACGAATGGTAATCACACCGACAACGTCGAAATTTGTGTTATCGACGCAGACGACTTGTTGGACAACCCAAGCAGCATCATTAACCAGTACTGCGCGACAACAGGTGTGGAATACAAACCAGAAATGCTTACCTGGGATACTGAGGAAGAACATTCAATTGCCAAGGCGGCCTTCGAGAAGTGGAAGGGATTTCACGAGGATGCGATCAACAGCACGGAACTGAAGGCTAGGGTCCACGTAAGTCACTTGAACCTTATGAAAGCGCGGCAGGACTTTTTGAAGACTGACGAGCTGACATGGCAGAAGAAAACGAAGTCTGATGACGAAATTTATGCCGACTGGATCAAGAAATACGGCACCGAGGCTGCTAAATCTATCAAGGCGTGTGTTGACCAGAATGTGGCGGACTATGAGTACCTCAAGAAATTCGCTATTAAGCCGTAGGTGTGAGACAGTTGTTGGGCAGGCAAAGACGTAGCAATTGCCTCGCTGGACTCTCGCACTTTCAAGCTGCCATTGATTTTTGTTGCCAGCTGAGCTCTTACAACGAACCAAATTACCTGACAGCAGTGGCTTGAATGATAATTTTTTTTCCTTTGCTATATAAAACCAAACTGTGCAGAAGGCCTCGGTCAACACTCATTAGTAACCTCGGAGATGTTTTTTACCTTTTTTGAATGTATTTTGGGAGTATTGGTATATCTGAAACTGTTTACAAATCCATTCTCCTAGCAGTGATGCTTTCTGGTGTGACAAAGACGACATTCGATGCTTGACTAGAGTGCCGTTCTTCCTTGGGGATTTAGTTGTTGAATATGGGCTCATGATGGAAGCACCAGGGAAAGGGACTGGCTCACGTATTGCGACCTTTTGGGAAATTGAATAAAGCATAAGGTAGAAATCTATTGTTGAGAACGTGTCTAACTTGTTACATTATGTGTTACAACAATAATCATTAGATATATGTAAAAAAAACCCACCGCCTGCCCGCTGCGTTGGTAGGTATTGCCTCTCATGTTCGCATGTCTACTATTGGAAGCACGGCTTTGCTAGTAGCTGCTTGTACTGTAGTCGCTGGGAAATCTAGTTCTTGAGACCAATGGCACCGAGGAAGGGGGAGAGGAACTTGAGGGCTTCAGATGCGAACTCAGATGCGACCTCACCGCCAATGCTGATGCTCTTGGAGAGGACACCGGAGACGTTGCCCTTGAGGACGTCGGAAGCGATGCCCTCAACCTGGCCGACGATCTCGGTTCCAAGCTTGATACCCTCCGTAATACCGAACAGACCCTCGAATGCAGTAGCGCCGTTAAGGAAAGCGTTGATGTAAGCCTCAGCAGTGGCGCCGATGGAACCGTCAGCCTCACAGAGACCAGCAGCCTGGAGCCAGCCCTTGATGGCAGCGTTGAACAGATCGCCGGACATGTCAGCGGTGAACTTGAAGGTACCGCTCAGGAGGCCCTGGATGGCGCTGGTGATGAGCTGGGTGTTGGGGTCAACGCTGGCGCCGACCTGGCCGCCCAGGTTGATTCCGGCAGCCATACCGAAGAGGCCCTCCAATCCGGTCTGACCGTGGAGCACGCCGTTGAGGTATGCCTGGGCCTTGGCGCCGATGGAGCCGTCGACCTCGCAGAGACCCTTGGCCTGGAGCCATGCTTGGATGGACGCCTCGCAGGCTTCGACGGTGATGCCGGCGCCGAAGTTGATGGCGCTGGGGATCGTGAATTGGCCGCCGACTTGGCCGGAGGCACCGCCGGTGATGCCACCGAGGCCGGCGCTGACGCCGGCGTTGGCACTGCCGCCGAAGGTACCGGTGGGGAGGGCGAGGACGGAGGAGATGGCGGCCATGGCCGGGATGATGAGTGAGAACTTCATTTTGATTGTTGTTGTTGTTGTTGTTGTTGGTTTTGGAAAAATAGGTCCGGTGAAGGAATGCAGAAGATTACTGAATCGAAGTGAGTGAGTGTATTGGGTAAGTCTGAACGAGTGACTGTATTAGCGAATGAAAGATGATCTGGAAGAGCGTGATGAGGAGTATGTTTGAGGCTGATGGTTGTGGTGTTTATATACACCGACTTCACTTCGATGCCCGCATCGTCTTGAATACTGATCGGCACTCATTTCAAACTACTCTCTACCATTTCCTGGTACGCATAGCCTTTACGCTCATGTGTGTATCCGTTAGCCTGGTCTCATCTGCTGGAAGACTATTGGTGTTGGAAGCGTTTAGACGCACGTTTCCACGAGATGGCAGCACATAACCTTCGCAGTGACATACAGACCCTTGTCAAGAGGCTATGAAGGTATCCACATCCCGTACCATAGCGGAATAAGGTGAAGCTTAACCCATACGGCGATGTTTGATGGAGTTAGCCGGAGAGCAACAAGTGTTCAGCTAACAGCCCAAATCCGGTGATGGGAGGTTGCGACTAAGGTGTCAAGGCACTGTGCCCCCTGCCAAGGAACTCTCTAGCGGTTGATATCCGGTGGCTCGCGCTCTCTCCGCCCAGACGCTAACACCACGCGCTGGCTCCAAGACTCAATGGTTTAAGGTTTGCAACCAGAAACAATGGATTGATCTCCAGATCTCGACTGGTTTTGTCAAGGGGCTCCCAGCTTGTAATGGAATGGGAGGCGGAAGTGCTCAATGCTCTCACCATTCTTCCTCGGCAAGGCTGCTCTAGTCTGATGTCATTGCGAACTTGCATCCTTACTCCCGGTACTAGTACACACTTACACTTGCCTATAGTTATAGTCTTATTACACGTATAGCGCGCTGAGTCGACGTCCTTGGAGGTGGCAAAGAGAGACGAGACAGAGAATGCATACATGCATACATACAGCAACATAGACATGAGACTCTCCGTACTATGATAGAGCACCTCCAACAAAGGCCTACACCTCGGCCATCCCCGAGCATTTTCGTGCTCGTATACCCTGCTGTACAGTGACATTCCACCCCCATAGCCATACCGTATCCATGTACGTACGTACCATGTACCGAAGGAACGCTGTTCCAGTCATCAAACCTCCGCCCTAAAGCAACCCAATCGAGTCGAGCATCAGAAATTGGGTGTCCCAAACAAACAAGATGCCCCCCGCTCGAGGCAGTATGTAGGACCGGCGCAAGCCGCGGGACACACGGACAGGGATGGCTTCTAGAAGAGATCCATGCAACGAACAGACCTCTCCTGGGTCTTGGTCGTTTTCTGGAGAGACCACATGAACTTGCAGTTCTCAAATATTTTTTTCTTCCCTGGGTAGTAGCTGGCCGTACGTTCTTGGGCTGAGGCTACCTCGGTACGCGCCATGCAGCCATGAACGTTTGATCGGCGGTGAGGCTGCAGGTAATATGGATGTGAAACTCGTCCGTAATATTGACTGTGTTTCGACAGTTGCCAGAGGATCTCCTCGCCATTTCCGACCGACTATGCGTGATAACCAAGCTGTGAGTCGAGTCTAGACTCCAGTATCTGGGGAGGGCCTGAAAAATCCCCGATGCCTTCACTACACCCTCACCGTCATCATCACCATGATCAGAGAAACAAAAGTATGGCCACAGCCGCTAAAGACTATTGTTATTAATCAACTTAGGCTTTGGTGCTAGATTCTTGTGAGTTAACGTACCTCCTATTCTTTGATTCCTTTTAATAAGTCTAAGGTGTGGCTTAGTGTTTGTTTGACAGTGCTCAGTGCCCTCTGTCACCCCGGAAAGAACAACGCCGTTGACTTCTAGTGTTCGGTCGTCGAAGGAAATGACTGATCTGCTATCGCTACTGATATAGCTCCCACCCAACCGTCACTAACTTCAATCAATAGCCTAGTCATCAAGACGGCTCGAAAACTCGAGCACGAAGGCATTAGCAGACTGACAGACACTTGTTCCATGCTAGGCACGCAGATGGTGCACTGCTTGCGACTTGTCCTGCAGTCGACTGTCAGCAGTTGACTATCACTGGTCAACTGTCAACAATCGACTATTGACAATCAACACGATAAACTAGACTGGAAATTTTCGCGACAACCAATCTGCCCAGTAGCCCGCGACAATCGCAGCGTTTCCAGCATCATACATACTCCAATGATTCCCCACGACCGTCTGCTCTTCTAAATCTGGCACCAGACCCTTCTCCTTTGCATCGACCATCAAATCCGTGCGACATACCCAGTCGCCCGTCATGCCAATATACAGCAACGGCACCTCGATCTTCGGATTCTGCGCCAGCACCCTCTCGTCCTCGAGCATCGTGTTATTCTTGAGCGAGTGGTAGTAGTTCACAGGTGCTGCCAGTCTGCCCTCCTTCAGCCTGTCGAGATACCGCTTCTTCAGCTGTGCGTCGCGCGCGTACGCGTTCAGCTCGACCGTGAAGCCTGCCCACTTACCCGTGCCCTGGATATAGTCGCGCATGCCATCCTTCACGTCGAACATCTCGCGCATCCAGATGTCCTGCCCGTTGTCTGTCGGGTCGGGCGAGGGATAGTAGCCGTTGTTAGCCTCCCAGAAGCGCTCGAGATTAGCCTCTATCTGTGCCGGTGCGTCGGGCGCGGTGAAGTAGTTCCAGTATTCCCACTGTGGGTACCCGAAGCGCTTTGTCGTGGCGATGTTTGCTTGGTCTAGGTTGAAGGGCTCGGTGCTAGGGATCTGGTACGCGAGGCAGAGTAGTGAGACGCCGATGCAGCGGGCTCGGTGGTACAGGTAGAAGCGTTGTGTGATGGCGCTGCCCCAGTCGTGGCCGATTGCGATGACTTTGCCGACATTCTCCTCGTCGAGGATCTGTGCGAGGGAGTTGGCTTGTTGTTTGTAGCTGTAGTGCTCGACTGTGGTGGACTTGGAGGAATCGCCCAGGCCCAGGATGTCGATGAGTATGATTGGGTATGGCAACTTCAGGAGTGTTGGTAGAGTGCCAGCCCACATGTGTGCATCGTCCGGAAAGCCATGACTGATCATCAACGTTGGCACTCCTGAGTCAACTTTCGCCTCAAATCCTGGGGATGTATAGTAGCTATAGGTGAGCTCATATGGCTTGGTGACCAAAGTCTTGTGCTTGAATTGATCCATGGTTCTTGGACTTGATCATTTGAGCCTGGATAAACCAATATGTCACGACTGCGGTCAATGAAGGAGTCTAGGGAAACGCTGAGGCCAACATATAGTCACTGCCGACTGGTCCTTCCAGCCGAACCCCGCATGCTGGGTCTCGTTCCCCATACACTCCATGTCGAGATCGCTCAAGTTGAACTTGGCTAATTTTGTCGATTTCTGACGAAACGATTACCTGAAAGAAATGATATGAGTTTAGAGCACCGTCAAGTCTGAAATCACTTCGTTTGTTGATACACTCGACGGGGTTGATAAATTACTGCATCCAGCTAGCTCGGCATTAGCGCGAAGTGATGTCAACCTATCTTATCTCCCTTTTGCAGCAGTATGAAGGTCTTGGAATTGGCCTCACTGCTGGTAAAGCGATGACGAAGACCTGCACTATTGGTCCTAAGTATATGGATGCTCTCCAGGGCCGCTTCCATATGATTGTGTCGTCGTAGTACTTTCGATGCTGCAAGCTACTAACAGTTCATCTGGTGCTCATCCATGAGCCAACGTTTCCCAGTACTGAAACACCATGGGATTTTTGAGCGAGTGTATGACAGTCAGCCCAAATTTTCTGGCACACACACACTATCAGTATTTTTGTTGGCAGACTCTGTATTGCCATAATCACATCTCAGGGCAACCCAAGGTTCGAGATCATCTTGAGGTTCGAATTCCGCTGCGTTAGCGTAAGATCTGTACACATTGCCTTACAGGAACTGAAAGTCCCAATATAAGTCTGACTATCCTGCATTGGTCGCAAGCAGGCTCTTCTGGGCCCAGGTCATCCATAGATGCCCTCTCCAACGCCGATATAATGCGCCCACAAACGCCGCGCTTGAAGCAGATTCCGTAATTTTTCGGCGTTACAACATTTATTCATCAAGATCCATCTTATCCTGTGGGTGGTGTTCTTCCTCTTCTTCCTCGCTTCGGTTCCTTCCCAGTATATCCACAACCTGCTCCAGTGCCCTGACCTCGTCCGGAGCAACTCTGCGACCGAGCCCACCGCCTACGCCTCCTTGTACATCTACTCCTCGTCGCTCTAGTATTCTGCGTGTCTGAGCCTCTACGTATTCGCTTCTCTCTCTTGCTCTCATGCCTGCCTCGGTCCGTGGCAGCCCTGGCTCGGCCGGCAAGCCTTTCAAGTATGGTCTGAGCGCGTCCAAATGCTTTCTTAGAAGTGGGAGCTGTGTCAATGGGAATGTCGTATTGCTCTGCAGCGAGCCAGGTTGCTGTGTGGTTATAAAGGAAAAATCGGGTCTTGCGTCAGTCAACTTCGTAGGGTTGAGAGGTGACGTGGAGGATTTGGGTTCTTGTTTAGGTAGAGGCGAGGTCTTCGGTGGTTGGCTTTGTGGTGTGAGGAGGGGATTCAGTTGTGTGAGAACAGCATGATTGCGCGCTTTCTCTGCGAGAAGTAGGGTATGAAGTTTTTGGGTCTCTTGAAGCTTGCGGCGAAGTGACATGAGGGATTCAGGCGTAGGAGCCTGGTCTTCCAGGGTCGTTGAGGTTGGTAGATGGAGATTCTAGGTGGTGGAAGTCAGTATAGCTTCGCGCAATCCTTCAAAACCACAGCGGTCTTTCTCAAGGCCAGTAGCATACTCACTTCGTAGCCCTTTAACCGTATCCAGCCTTCTGAGCCTTCCCAGTCCTTCCCTAGGCTCAAGACGTTGCGCAGCACCCAGATCTCCCATTTGTCGAAGTTCTTGTCCACTGTATTCTCGAGCAATGTCTCGAGCTTAAGCACACCCTCTTCAATTTCATTCTTGGGGTCATCGCCGAAGACCTCCTTCGTCACACCATCCTCGCCTGTTTCGGTATCTGGGATTTGATTATTCGAGGCAGCCTTCGCCGACCAGCCTAGGTCGCGACCTGCATCGGCACTCAATAACGCTTGTTCGATTGAGTCTGTCCCTTGGGTTATGATCACGTTTATGGAATTAATGACCTCATCTATGAAAGACTGCGCGCAATTGTCAGTCCTTGCAGAGGGAACGAATGAAGATTTTGGTGAGGTAGTCTTACAATTGGAGTCCAGCCAAAATGCTCAGTAAGAAATGACGCTTGTATCTGTTTCGGTGTTGCCATTGCGAATCGTGGCAAAGAGGGTCTACAGGTCTTGCATGACCTCAGTGCGCGATGCGACAGACGCGGGGCGCGTTGTTTACTAGGGTTCATTCATCTTGGCCGCACAGATCAGCACGCTTGACCTATTTAGGCATGAACATATCCTCTTGTGAGCATTCAACTTGACACATGACCGCACATCCGGCTTTCTCATTGATGAAGGATCTCGTGGTATCAATCAGTCGGCCATTCTCGGTAAGTTACCTCGTTTTCAAATTCGTCCACAGCCCTATACTAATGACAGAGAAGTCGAATAGTAGAGAAGTCGAATAGTAGAGAAGTCGAATAGTAGAGAAGTCGAATAGTAGAGAAGTCGAATAGTAGAGAAGTCGAATAGTAGAGAAGTCGAATAGCAGAGACGTCGAATAGTAGAACCAATCTGCTGATATCTTTACCACTATGAATAAAATTGCTTATAACTTCATATATTTAGTTGATCAACAGTCCGGAGGAGCATTCTGATCCTTGGTATTAGTTCCTTATATAACCACGGTTAATAATTCAATGATGGGATTATCTAGCATATATATCTGCACGTACCGATTCTAGGAAGTGACGTTCGCATGAGAGGAGAATCATGATTCACGAGACAACTTCTTGTCCCATACGTTCCAACATCCTGACTCCTGGGTATACACAAAGCAGAACTTTCGTCTCTGTCTTGTCCTACTGCTCTTGGTCTGCTGGTGATACCGAGTATCTCCAGTACAGTTTCGTGTCAGATCATCTTGCAATATCCGCTGGCATTCATATAGACAAATTCGAGTGCGTGTTTCAAAAAGCAAGTTGACGTATATATAACCTTGAGCGCTTGACGAAAACTACGTATATCTGCTGCCAAGGTGCTAAGAGTGTCTGAGTTACAGTCCTGTCTCAGATCTTACCAGGGAAGACTATGCATTACTTCGACCAGCGAGAAAGATTCTTATTGGCGCTTCGGGGAGTAGATAACATTTCCTTCTAGAGAAACTAGTTGTTCGAGTTAAGTAAGACGAAAATTCCGCAATCTACTAATAGTCTTGTGATATGGCTTTCATGGTGCTTATACCAGAGTCGAATTGATCTTACATGTTTGTAATCTTTAGTAGGTTCAGAAGAGCTTGCATTTGGGTCGAATTCAGACTCGATGTTGGTCGTCGAGAAAGACACTGAAGCAACATTTTTGAGGATCGAATGTAGGTATACGTCTACTGACTACAGGTCAACCTGTAGAGGAACATGCAACGTTGCATGCGTCAATAAGAAGTTCCTCTCCTTGTAACATGCTAAGAGAAGTGAGATAGCACAATTCATCATGCGTCTCTTAGTGAGCTTAAGTCTAGCCCAACTTTGACATTGTTTTTGTTTGTAGACCTGGGAATCAGCACGTTCCAGTCGTAAACCTTGTTACCCCGTTAGGCATGACACACTACTCTGCATCACTACTTACTATGGCGACTACAGAGACTTATGGACAACCTTATAGATGTCCCAAAAGATCACGTTGAACAATCAAGCCGCAGATCTCGTATTGGTGTGTGTCGCGTACATGACGTTGCCTTCTTCGCACTATTTGAGTAAATAAATTTGAAGTTTAATGGTAAGAGAGTAGATCATAGCAATTACCTAACTCATTCACTCGGTGTGATATAAGATGCCATTATGCTCTACCCGACTCGAGACTCGTAGCAGACAAGTGGACAATATGATACTTCATTTCTTTTCAGCATGGCATCGGTTGACTATCGACTAATGTGAGGTTATTGTGTATCGAGGCACAGTACCAGACAACACTCTTCTCGAACAAAGTAGACTATTCCCCTAGTGCTTCAAACAATTTCGTTGAAGAATGGTTTAAAAACCCATGTACTCCCTCTCCGCTGCCTGTGCTTCGTGTTCTGATCCCATCTCCTCAGACAGTCGTGAGGATCCTCACAGGACCCTCAACCTCTCCCAACGCACCAAATGCCATTGCCTCACCACTATCGCGGGAAAGCTCGTCGAGCTGCACACTTTGATTATTTTCTCCAGCACCCATCGCCTCAGACACGCTCACACTCGACGCACTTGCCAGTCCCCGCAGGAAACTGGCCCAACTCCTCCACGGCGGCTGTTTAAACGCCTCGTGCATCCCCTCCAGAGACCTCCCTTTCGTTGCCGGCATATACGCGGCTAAAACTACAACCGTCGAGAGAATCAAGCAGCCAAACAGGAAATACGCACCATAAGCACTGCGCGCCAGAAACGCCGGCGTCGCAACCGCGACTAGGAAGTTTGAGAAGAGATTCAAGCGTTGCCCAGACTACCGCGACGGTCGGCGAGTTGGCCAGTGAAGAAGGTATGTCTAGAAGAGTGTAGTGAGGAGGGCAAGGATGCACAGAGAGATACCCATTGAGAATCCCACCGAGCGAGATGAAGGTGGAAGCGACTGCGAAGCCGGGTACTCTAGGGACGAGGAGCATTATGAGTGTTGTTGGTAACGTTTATATGTGGGAAGGGTAGTGCTGTTGCCGGCGATCGTGACTTGCTAAGAAAGAATCCACAGGAAAATATACACGGGTCATGAATTAGGGCAGTAGATCACATAACAAGATCTACACGGTCCTTATCGGGATTGTTGTGCCGCGTTATGAGCGACTGCGAATGTGAAAGCACACTGGATGGGCCATGCTGACCAAGTGATGGATGAAGGACGGGTTGTGGTCAGCTACGGAATCAGCCCCAACCCCTATCGTATTGACCTCACGCGGAGTTGTTATAAGACTGAGTCGATTCGATGTTCTTAGCACTGAGTACGCAATGAGACACACATGAATGTTAATAGATTCTTTCATGTAAAGGAACTGTCAAAAGAGCCTTCCTGTGATGTGATGCCCACTACCACGATAAAATACCGCTCACGAATATGTCCAATCCCGCCACAAGATGTGCCTACATGCAAATGTCGCTTGTCGTCGACTAAGTTGGAATGCATGCTGTAATGCCATTCGCTGTTGTACAGGAGAAAAGTTGAAGAAGCCTATTCGACATCAAGGTCCATCGAATTCGTTGCAGTCGAATGTCAGACATACGCCCGGAAGACGGTGTTGGGCTATTGTCGTTGAATGAAAGGTATGCAAACAACATAATCAAAGCGTGATTGTGTAAAACGTGAATGTATAAAACGTGAAGGGGTATCGCCGAAGTTCATAGTGTTGAAAGAGACCCACCGATTGGTTGTTGGAATTAAAGCGCAGAGTTAGCTGCTCTGCTACTCATGCTGTAGAAAATGCCGCAAATGATGTTAGTACATGTTGTGTTATACTTACCCGCGGTCGAGACGTAGATCTATGGTTAATTGCTGCTATAAGGTGTGGAAATTAGTACTCATCCAGATTTGTGCTTCTTGATATCGGGATCGCCCCGCAAGTTGTCTTCGTCAGATTCGCGACTGCGCTTATATGGTGGCGAAGAGGTCTCTTTTTCGGGTGTCTGGATCTGAATGCTTGGTTCATCCCCTTGGACTGTCGGTGTTGATGTTGCTGACGGCGAATCAGCTTGAGCTGCTGCTTGCTCGTCTTCTTCGTCGTCATAATCAATCAAATCATCTTCAGCCAACAATTGTGCAGTGGTTGACTCATTTTTAGACTCGAGTTCAGCCGGCACAGAATCATTGAGAGGTGTCACAATGCGTTCCACTGCTCCGGAATGTTCCTCGGTCGTAGCGCTGGTATTTTCGCATACCTCGTTCTCATTACCGAAGTTTATCAAGTCACCGTGATCTTCGTGCTGAATCTCCTTGGTATGTGACGTTTCCAAGTATTGCTCAGAGTAGCTATCCCCCTCTGCGTGTGGATCTGTCAACAATACATTATTGGGCGTAGAAGGCTTCCTGGAATGGTTCTCTGAGTCTGCTTCTAGTGTTACCTCATCGAGTTCCGGAGGTGCGGTTTCAGAAGCCGTGTTGTTGTTCTCAGTTTCATCGAGCCCGTCGTCTTGCCAGTGAACCTCATCGTGCTCTCCAGGTAGAACATTTTCTGTATCATGCTCGGAATGTTCTTCATACTGTTCAGTCAAGCTGTCTCCAGTCACTTCGTTTGCGTCCACTAGCTCAGTGATCAAAACGCTCTTTGCCGCATCAGCTTCGTCAATGAGTGCAGTTCCATCCTCTTCTTGTTCTTCTTGTTCTTCTTCTTCTCCTGCATGGTCGACATCATCACTATGTAGTTCCGGTTTTTTCATAGACGCTTTTGCCTCTGTGGCATTGTACAATTCTTCGCCTTCGGAACTGCTAACGTCACTTTTTTGATCGTCATCTTCCTCCAAGTATTCACTGCTATCGACCGTAGTCGAGTCTCTTAGGAACTTTAATTGCGACAAACCTTGTTTGGAAGATATGGCTTCTCGAATTTGTGCCAATCTAGTGGCAAATCTTGTGCGTCGACGTAGAACTACTTCGAACGGTCCTGGTGTTGAATTGCCATCGAGTTCGTGCAATTGCACGTACATGTTCACGAAGTCTGCGAGGGTACACGCATCCTTACAAGCATCCTCACGCACGATAGTGTTGAACACAGGGATATCGATCTCGAGCTCTTCAGTGTTTCCGAGATCGCCACCGAGTGCGTTCCGTAACTCTGCAAACAATATAGGAAAGCTTTCGTGAGCTAAGGCTGATTGCTCAAGGTAGAAGCCTTGATGCTCTTCTGATGCATTTGGCTGAAACAACCAATCTCTCTCATCGTCCCAATCTGCAAGAATTGGATGGAGTGACTCGACTTGTTTCGGTTCAGGAGCAGTATTTAACGAACTAGTGTCATTCGAATTGCCATCCACAACTTGCGTGACAGAATCTACGTTGGGAATATCTTCGTCACGATGGCCTTCATGGCTTTCGCAGTTGTCTAAAATGCGTTCATGCGATTTGGAGTAGCTATCGGTAGTGGCTCCCTCATTAGAAGTCTCTGGCTTATTCTCGAGCTTGGAGCTGCTATCGCCTTCGGAGTGAAGATCTTGATGTGTGTTAGTCTGCGAAGTAGATTCGGCCTCGGCGTCAGGTCGCGGAAGACTTTGACGCGTTGATGGATCTACAAGATTGCCGTCATCAGGGTCGCCAGGATCATACGATATCTCCGGATCAGGATGGTGGTGGTTATTGGCGGGAGCGGGCAAAGCATCTGCAGATTGGGCAGTCTCATCATTGGCAGTGACCCATGTCACTTGTGCTGCATCCATAGATCCCGATACACTCATGGAAGCATTAGCGATTTCAGGGACGGAAGCGTTTTCCATAGAACCAGCCAAGTCTTGGGGAGTCTCATATTCCAAATTGCCGGTAAATTGAAGTTCATGCTGATAAGCGTCTACCAAAGAAGCATCTGCAGTTTGAGGAACAAACTCAGTATCGACTTCTACATCCTGAAGATCTAAGTTGTGCTCATTGTGTTCCAAGTCATATTCAGCGTCTTCCAGCAAGGCGTCCGCCATCTCTTCGGCATCATCATGATCCATGGCTACAGACTGGGGAGACTGCGCGCTGGCCTGAGCGTCTGGAAGGTCCGCATCATATGAGATCTCATCAACGAGTTCGACATTGTCTTGCATCATGGGTGTGCCGACACCAGTTAGGTCTATCTCGAAGTCGTCCATGTCGACGTCATTTGAGCCATGAGGCGCGTGTGAGGGGTGTAAGGTAGTCATCTCCGTAAATCCAGAGTAGTTTGAGAGATCACTTGCGAGCTAAAGTGTTAGTGTAGGAGCGGCGTATTGTAGGAGGGCCGTTATTCTCATGAATACGAGGTTGGATGATGGACTGTGTCTTTCTGAGTGGCGCGGCGGTTGACTTCAGCTTTGTACTGAGTTCGGACGACCACGATCAAAGTGCGGTAAGGAAGTGCGAACAAGACAGTCAATATCAAAAGTAGTAGTGTTCGAGGGGAAGCGAGTGTAGGGATGTGTGGATCGAGTGTCTTGAGATGGCGAAGTTAAGTAAGCGCTGCTATGTGTCGAGTCGTGTTTTGAAAAAAAGAAAGAGTGTTGGGCGATGGACGTGCTCGTAGATAGACAGTGTCGCGATGCGGATGTGGCAACCGCGTTTTACCAGTTTGTCATTTAAAGTTACCCCTGCGCGCAGCGCGGACAAACGATTTTCCGGTCTGCCGGCCGCGCGCCCGCCAATCCACACTTTCGAGAGTCCAGCTCCAAGAGGACAACTGTTGATATCGTGATTAGTGCCTCGTCGAAAGTCAGCGCGACGATTGAATCATTGTAACACCTTACGACCATTAGTTGCCAGAGTGTAATTCGGTCATAATGGTAATTTGCACAGAGCCCGCCTCTTAATTTCATGCACAAGCTCATGGTATACAGGTCGTTCTCGCAGCGTCCATCTGCACCCGAGGGGGCAAAGCAGTGCTCTCTAGGCAGTTCAGAGAAATGCAAAGATCCCGTATTGAAGCTTTGCTCGCCTCATTCCCTAAACTCGCAGATTCTGGCACACAACACACAACCGTCGAGCAAGACAACGTTCGATTTGTTTACCAGCCTCTGGACGAACTCTACATGGTTCTTATCACCAACCGACAATCCAATATTTTACAAGACATAAACTCATTGCATCTCTTTGCACAAGTGGTATCAAGCATCTGCAAAAGTTTAGACGAGCGCGAAATCTTACGAAATGCCTTTGAACTACTCAGCGCCTTCGATGAATTGGTCACACTCGGGTACCGGGAGAACTTGACCATTGCACAAATTAAGACTTTCCTAGACATGGAGAGTCACGAAGAAAGAATACAAGAGATCATCTCCAGAGTAGGAAGCTACCAGCGTAATGTTCTTGACCATACTGACAGAGTAACCAGAACAAAGAACTTGAAGCCAGCGAGGAGCGGAAGCGTAGAGCGAAACAGCTTGAAATGCAGCGGAAAGAGATGGCTCGAAGTAGTCGGGGTGCAGCTCCACGGACACCCTCGTACCCTACATATACTCCTTCGGTGCCTACAACAGTTCCTGACACATATGATTCGTACGCTGCGGAAAAGGCCAAGACGTCAAAGTCAGTGGTCACTATTTATTCATATCTCCCTACATATGTCTAACGTAGCGATAGGCCATTGTCGAAGCAAGGAAAAGGTATGCAGCTTGGCAAGAAGTCAAAAACTACAAACATGTTCGATCAAGTTAAAGGAGACCTCGGGCCTGAAGCGGAGATTGCTTCACCTTTGGTATCAAACACCCCTGCTGCATCGATTCCCGTTGCCGTTCCAGCTGGACGTACCTCGACGTCTATAGATCGGGAAGCAATTCATATCACAACTGCAGAGTCTATATCTGCGTCGTTGGACAGGGAAGGTATCCTCAAGTCATTCGATGTGAATGGTCAATTGCAGCTCAAGATCTCTGATCCTAGTTTCACACAAGTTAAGCTTGATCTTGCGATTGGAAACAACCGAGGCGCCAACCTCATCACTCATCCCAAAGTCGACAAGAATGCCTTCAGGAACTCGAAAACGATACAACTTTCAGACACATCGAAAGGATTTCCCGCCAACATGGCAATTGGTGTTATGAAATGGAAGCTTAGCGCGAAGCCTGATGAGGTTGACGATCTACCTATCACTTTCCGGGCATGGGTCGAGGAAAGTGGCAGTTCCTTTAATATCACCATTGAATACGAGCTCTCGGGTGGAGAAGAACTCCAAGACGTTTCCCTGATTATCCCTTTCACGACAGACGAGCCGAACGTCTCGAGTTTTGATGCCGTCTATGAGGTCTCAGGTGACAGCCTTGAGTGGAACATTGGAACCGTAAATGCTGAGAACAGTTCCGGTTCATTCGAGTTCGAGGCGTCTGGCGACAGCGATGCCGAGTTCTTCCCGATGAAGGTCCGGTTCACCAAAGCCACGCCTTTCTTAGATGTCGACGTAAGCCCTGCCTCTCTTGAATACAATCGAGTTGGACACTAATCTAGTTTTATAGATCTCCTCGGTAACACTATTGAGCATGAGCCAAAGCGTTCCGTTCTCTAAGGATATAAAGTCTGTGGCCGAGTCTTACACGGTGGGATAGACGGATGTACCTTGGGTGGGCAGCAGTTTATACTGAGCGCCAGTACGTGTTCGACGGCTTACGAAACGTAAGATCTTGAGGGCGCAATGTGAATACACGTAGAATCCTGTCCACGCAAGGTTGAGGACTAGGCAAATAAAGCCAGAACAAGATCAGTATAATATGGCCCGTGGCTGACCTTATATAAGCTGTCTCAGATTGTGTACACCGTCTTCGCCCTGCAATCATAGTACCTTGCAAGTTATTGCGGTCTGACTGTCATCGCTGCAAGTAAGGAGGCTGTTTAATGGCGAAGTCGAGGTCGTTATGGTAGTAGTATTGATAGACTACTGAATCACTACGCTGGGTCCCACGTCTATCGAGAAGGAGATATAGATAGAACGAACTAGGCTATTTCGGGGCTTAGCCTATCTGCTGAACGTGCCAGGGGGCGGGAGGGACTAAACGTGTCACGGACTTGAACTCGAACACGTCTGGCAAGGCGGCCAGCCGAACAGTCTATATACATACACCGGCGTAGTAACATTATGATATATGATATATATGCCTCTCTGTAATTGAAACATGCTTATACACAACAGGGTGCGGCTGATGTTGATGATAATGATCGTTAATAAAGCAATCCCTGAACCTTGAGTCTTTGCTTCCAGGGGTGGCGTCTCGACAGTGGCAAAAACTTGTTGGGCTTGAGCAGATCAGCTTACGTGAGACAACAGCGAGATTCCAAGATAGTGGCCGTGCCTCCTATTTCCCGTGTAATTGAACAACTCACTGTTTATATCATTATCTCGGACGGAGAAAACACTGAGGAGTTTTTGTTGTCACTCAAGAGCACACTTGTCCTCCTACGAGTATGGCACAAGGCCTATTTGGTCCCTGCATGCATTGTGGTCGCCTGACTACGTGCTGACGTTGCCTGAATGGAGAGGGTTACAAGGTCATGCAATACGACACATTGCGCAAATAGATAAGGAGAAGGGGGCAGAAAAAAAACCAAGAAAAAAGAAGAAAGTAAAGGAGCAGCGGTAAGTAAGGAATAAGTACAACAGGTATTAACAGCGGGAAGAAAAAGGATAGGAGATGGTGGTGAAGGGGATTACAGTAACATGACATCCGGCAGCAAATCAGGGACGATAATAACACGTACCACAGGGATTAGCGGTAGTTAGCCGGGGAGCGGCAGGTCTGAGCTGAAGCCTGACAGCAGTACCAGACGCAGTTAGTCGCTTGCTTGGCAGATCCCGCAACAAAATCGCGCCACTGCCCCCTTCTTCTACGTCGCCCCCTCAGGGTATTGGCGATATCTTCGTCTCTCGTTCACTACTTACTCGCACGATCTTCGCCAATTCCTCCTCCTTGTCCTTGCTCGTTTCCTTTGCGTGTCTCTGTCCTATCTAGCTACCCTAATCAGCCCTTCTTTCACACAGTCTCGTTGACCATCCACGACTCATCCACGCTAACAACCTGGTCTCGTCATCTCTCTCAGCATGGCGGCCTTGAATGTCGCCTGGCGACGCTCTGTCATTGCAGTTGCTGTGCTCTTGGGCTTCTTCGGATTCACCCTGTTCTTCTTTCCAGCTACCGTCCCGGAGGATCTACACGGCAGAATGTAAGCTCGACCGCAATGTTTATTACTCGCTACAGTAGACTGATCACTGTAGACCCTTCTCCGGCGACAAATCACCTGTAGAGCCTGCTCATGCAGAAACTTCTGCCGATGATCTATCGTTTATCAATATCGTACGCGCCCTGTGGAAACCTCTTGCTGTCGACATAACACAAAAGTCATTTACCGATCGAGAAGGCAATGTACACACTATGGGAAAGGCACCCTATTACACGAAGAAGTTGGGCAAGAAGTTGGTGATTCTCGATGTGGACACACGTCCACTGGACAAGGAGGGTGAGGTCAACGCGCCCGAAGCACCAACCTGGGAAAACCTTCACCACCTTTCTGCTGGAATTATGTCGCATTACCTATATGCTAAGATTCACGGTTACGATTACAAGTTTATCCGATCCCCTGAATATGATTACCAGCAGGGTGGCTGGACCAAGGTGTTGATGTCGCACGAGCTCATGAAGTCATATGACTGGGTCGTCACCGTTGACTCGGATGCCGAATTTACCAGCCCAGAACTTCCTCTAGAATGGATGATGAACTATTGGAACTTTACGTCCAAGACTGCCATTGCCATGGCGAATGATCCTGCCGGCGAGCCCAATTTCGATTCGAAACATAATGTCGTTTTGAATACTGGTTTCTTCTTCTCTCAAGCCAAAGCACCAAAGGTTGAAGAGATCTACAAGAAATGGGGCGATTGCACGACTGGCAAAGAATACGAAGAATGTACTAAATGGACATACGAATCCTTCCGTGAACAAACTGCGTTCAGCGAGCACATCCGTTACGATTTCCCTGAAGAGGGCGTGATCGTGGCGCTCCCATGCGCACAAGCGAACGGCTTCCCAGAGGCCGCTGGTTCGGGCTGCACAGGTCAATTTCTGAAGCACTTTTGGACAGAAAAGAATCTCTCAAAGCGACAGCTTGCTGACGGCATCATGCAAGCGGTCGTGCCCCAACTGTATTCCAGTTTCAAGGATTCAGTCGTTGACTGGCATATGAAATCTGTGAAGGGGAACGAGATCTGGTGATCAATTGACACCTCCAACCGGATGATACTGCGTGTCTTCTGGCAGTAAATTCTGGATTTCATTCTTGGCGTCGCGCAAAGATCTTGTTTGCGCGCAACATTTTCAGTGCACGATCAGTGTCAATCAATTTGATCGTTACAAAATTAAGACATAGTCAGAGTCTTCAAGGTTACATAACGGGAGACGAACAGATGCGACATGCATAACATCGGCGTTACTTTGCGGGTTGTGTAGTTTCGGTGTAACAAGGGAGGACTTTGTATGCCTATGTCGGCCTTTTTGCCCATGCAAAGTCAGTTTCAGCGACCGGGTCGTCCAATACCCTTTTTAGAACTGTAATTTATTCGATTCTAGTTCGCTCACCTAATATCACTTTCACTCCGTTGATATAAGTTAAGTCCTTGACATATTAGTTCTGTCAGCCTGCTTCTAGCACTACTTTTAGGACTTGTTCGGCTCTGTGAACAGCTCGGTTTCAGCCCATGTTATCGTTGTTGTGAATCAGCCAGACAGGCGATTTTGTCATGTACAACTGTTACTGGTATCGACTGTATCCTAGAAGTGGTCATTGGGCATTGGCCAGAAGTCTTCTCAAAGACATTATGTACGCTCTCTCTTCACTTCTTTCGAGTCCAATTTCGAGCTTCACGGAAAAAGTGTTGGTTCACTTCCGGCACGCATAACACTCTCGACACATCCCAGTGCAGCTATGTCCGATGCGTCACCTATTCCCAACAAGCTCTACAGACTCGCTCTTTCGCCCCAAAAAAAGATAAAATACTTCTACGCTCGAGGGCGCAAACACTTTGAGCGCAGAGTGTTTGAACAGAGATCCTTTCTTGAGACATTTAGAGTTATGGACGGTGTTCCATTGGCGGCGCGTCCTCGATTCTACAACAACTTGCCATTGTACGAAGTGAACGCGGGCGCAGATCAATACGACGAGTCAATGGATGACTCTGATATGGAGATCGAAACAGATCAGGATGGGTATCCACGCGTTGACGGAGATAATCAAGGTGACAGGCTGTACATGATAAACGCACGCTCGACTTCCTGTGTTTACAGCTTCGAAGAACACGACGACGACGACGACGATAGCGAAGCAGCGAGTGACCCCCAGGACAATGCTCTGAGCAAACTCATACCGGACCTCGACAAGCCTCTGCCTGCCGTCACAGGTCAGAACAGATCGTGTTGGATCGAGACCCCAGAGAACGGAGTCGAACACTGGCGAGCGAAGCTTGAATACCGCCATCAACAGTCGCTGAAACTTTCTCGTACGCCGAGCGTCGCTCACCATCCCAGTCGAGCTGAATGGGAAGAAGACCTTCAGATCACTGGCGTCATTCGGGAGATGGTGCGGCACCTTGAAGGTGAACTTGCGAAGAGATCGTCACTATCTCGTCCGCTGACATACCATGAACATGGCTGTGTATTCATATACCGCAGAATTGACCTTCCCACAGGTCCTGCTAGCTGTTCCCATCCTCTCTGCCGCTACAGGTCCCCTGGACACATCAAGAGCCATACTAAATGCGTTACGATCGAGAACGTCGTCTCCAACTTCATGCTTGAGGGTCCGCCGTTGTTGAATATTGCAAACGGTGAGATACCGATATATACTCGCGATCTGGTCCATTTCACACCGTATCATCGTGGGTTGATAAAGATGTGGTTCTGCGTATCCTGCCTTGAGGATCTTTGGGGTCGATACAAGGACTCTCCCACCGAAGACGGCTCATTGACGCCTTCGACATTCACATCGGTGGAGAATGGACAAAAGTCGACGTCAGCGTCTCGCTCTTCTGCTCTGTCAGAGCAGTACACAGATACCTCTCCTACTACTATGCGGCCTCCTCCAAGACCACTACCATCCTCTGTATGTCCCCCGAGCAGCGTAAATTCAAGAAAGCGAGCATCTACATCGACTGCCTCACCTGAGCCTCCTCGTACTCCAAGAATCCGCCTCGTCGACAACACAGAGCCAGCAAGAGAGTACAATGATCCCTCCATTCTAGGGCTCGATGGCACAACGGACATAAAGGCCATGAATAACGGCAAAACCCAGATATACGTCATGCTCGACAGTTCCGGTGACGAAGAGAAGGATCGTGAATCCCAAACACACATACAAGCAGACACTGATGATGGATCAGAGTACGTCGACGTCAGACAGTTCCACGAATCTCGTCCCGAGAATAATGAATTTCTAGGTTATGCTTCCTTACCAAAGCATGATTTTGACGACTGTAACGACCTCATGCCTGCGCGGCCTCGTACGGCAGAAAAGCTGGATACGCGCACTGTCAGATTCGCAGAAACGGCCGTCCTGATCCCTTTCGTCCCGCACACAACCCTTCGATTCGCCAGAGACGTGGAGTACATACCCACAGCGCCATACCCATCCCCAGGTCCAGAGTCGGACATTGACCCAGACACGATCGATCACGCTCCCACCACCTTGGTCTCTGTCGACGCCCCATGCTCACACTACAACTCCCTCGCCGTTCGCCCCCGTAGCCGCATCCGGTCCTCGCGCAAAACAAACACCTCGACTCGCACAAGAAACAAACCCCAACCATCATTTAAGCCCACAACCACCAAACCCACCACCAAACCCACGTCCCCAACCCCCAAACGCCCTCGCTACGGCACCGCCCCAATAATCAAATTTGCATCACCACCATCCCCCCTATCCCACCAACCCCCCACCCCAACACTATGGTGTCTATGCCGCAGCCCAATCGACGGAAGCGCCATGCTCGCCTGCGCAGCAACAACTTGTCATATCGGCTGGATGCACGTGGCATGCTTGAAGGAGAGCGAGAGGCCTCGTGTTGGTGTGCTGGCGAAGGGGGAGTGGGTCTGTCCTGTTTGTGTGGGTGGTGCCGGGTGGGAGTATCTTGGGGAGAGTAGGAATGACGAGGGAGAGAAAAATGGGGAAGAGGGAGAAGGAGTGAGAAAAGGAAAGGGAGAAGCAGCACGTAACAGACCTGTGGGCGAGGTGGAACAGCAAGTGGAGGAACAGCAAGTACAGGACGACGACGACACGTCTAAACATACCGCGTACGCAAAAGTACTAGCGCAATTCGCTGCCGTCGAAGATATATTCCGTGTGTCGCAAGCATCGCGCGCGTATAGCTAGGCAGTCGCATGTTTCCATAACTTCGGAATGCGCACTTCAACTGGGATGGTGGAATGGAAGGGGCTTGCGAGCAGAGCAGAGCAAACGCAAAATGGAAAATGCTTGTACTGTAATAGTCATCTGAAACAAAAACAAACACCACCTAGAATGTTCCCCCCTTTTTCTGCAATTGTTTTTTGGCGCAAACTATGTAACATGGATCACCAAACCAAAAGCTAGCAAAACTCTAATGGAGTCAAATATTGGCCGTCGGAAGCGAAGAGCAGAGATTAAACTACCCCTGAAGCTGAACGCTTTCCACCCCCTTTTGCTCCTTCTGCCCCTTTGTACTCCTTGCTCCCCCCTTCTGCCCGCTCACAACAACCAACAAGCAATCATATTAACAGGATTAATGCAGAAATTCATATAAACCATGTCATATCGTGTTGCACTTTTATAACGTTATATGGACTACATACCTAGGTCCCATGTTGTCCTCTTTGTACAAATCTGTAGGAAACCGTTCATTCGGTGATATTGCGGCATTAGCGTCACAATCTCTCTCCCTTCCCCTTACAGTATTATTCTTGACGGCATCAGCATCGGCATCAGCATCAGCATCAACATCAGCATCAGCATCAACATCAGCATCTCAGAAGACGAAGAACAAAGCAATAAGAATGACTCGATACATTATATACCTATATGCTGAGACCGGGGTATGACCAACGCAGAAATCCAACAATATATATGGTAATGGTTCAAACAATACGCCGAGTCGAACAACCACGAGTTTAAAATGCCCCAACGGTAAAGGAGAGACAAAATGCGCCTTCAGATGCCATGACATGCGTGAATCCCAGCATCACGGCGCAAACCAGTCCCTTGTACATAGCAGACACGGACAGACGTCACGATTATGCGCCGTCAAGTTGCGTGTGATCGACCTAAAAGACAAATCAATGCAAGCGAAAAGAAAACTTCACAAAAACAATGTTCCACGCCATATCTTACTTCTGACCCTCGCCCTTGACCAAAGCATCGACCTTCGCATACAGCACATTCGGCTCCTCGAACACCGTCCAGACATCCCTTGGCACACCCGCAAACGCCTTCTCGAACCGCTCGTCGCTGATCTTAGCTTCCTCATTCACGGCCGCAACACCCGTGACCTTGCGGATAAAGATCGCCTTGATCCAGTCGGGATGTTTCCGGTACATCTCGCCGTAGGATTCCGGATCGGTTTGTGTGCTGTCGCCGACGACGATGAACTTGCGCTTCGGCCAGTGCGCGTGGACCTTTTCCATGCGATCAACCTTGTACGCTTGCGTGCCTTGTGTCAGGTTTGTGAGGAGGCCTGCGAGGTTCATCCATGATGCTTCGCGCAGTATCATTTGGCCAGCCGGGTAGTATTTTCGTCGAAAGTCGCGGAGGAAGGTGTAGAGGTTGTAAGGGCTGGCTGAGAGATACCAGAACGGCGGGTTTCCGAGGGCAGTCTTCATGTGTGCGTATAGCTCGGGCATACCGGGAATGGCCTCTGGTTCGTCGACGAATGTGGTTTTGAGGATACCAATTGGGTCTGCAGTCAGTGTACGCTTGATGGTGTCGTCGACGTCAGAGAGAACGGCCCAGCCGGTAGGCCCAGCAGTGAAGGTAGTCATTTCATCACATTCTACGCTAAGGGCGTCAGAGATGACAGAAGTCAGGTTGTCGTACTTTGTAGCAAAGCGAATGGTGTCGTTGGAGATACCATCACGGCCAGAGGGTCCAAGTCGGACAGTCTGTGATTTGGCGATTTGCATCTTGACAGTGTGAGCAGGGAGGATCGAGTCGACAAATGGCTCAAGACGTTTTGCAATGGTTGCTTCTTGCTTGTCGCCCTTTGCGAGACCGCATTTCTCGGCAATATCAGCAACAACAGCGCTCACGTCTGAGCCGCTGCGCTTTACAAAGTATGCCGCAACAAACTCTGCTGCCCAGCCATTTGATCCAGGGATTTGCCAGGCTGTATTGTCGAATATCCAGACAATGTGTTTCTTGGGATCGACTTGCTTGGTGAAGGGGTTTCGCTTGCCCAGGTATGACGACAGGTTGTCTACCAGCGAGGCGTCGCGGAAGCGGGTTGGTAGATGGGGCATGGTGCTCTCGACTTCTTTGAAGCTTGATGTTCGTCTCGTTATGTGCTCTTGTTCTGACTCTTGCATATGCTTCTGTACCGTCTTGGCCGCGGCAGCCATATTGAGGTTTGCCATAATGAATGTATATAAGGATTCGCGCAGGGTCTAGGGGATGAGTCGATCAGAAGTGAAATGTCTTGTAGGTAGTGGTGCACGAGGGAGATGTTTGAGGCGGAGAAGAGTCGGAAGGTCATAGGACAAAGAAGATGGCATTGTGCAGGTGCCTGGGTGTTATTGTATAGGCGGGGCGGACTTCAAGGTTAGTCCCAGACTCGAAGGGACAAGGCGACGCAAGACGAAGGATGATATCATGCAGCAAGCGCCGCCTGAGCATTGGGGACTCTTGGGGGCTTTGGTAGAGTCTTGGGGGCAGTTTGTAGGGCCTTGGGAGAGTTTTGGTGATGACATGCTGGTGTCGATCCACGCGCCATCTACGCCTGCCTATCCTGGTGACTGCTTGCCTGTTTTGGGGATCGATGGGCCACTGCGCCACGACCTGCGCCTACTGATACTACGCATCCATGTGCATCTCATGCACTCCGCGTTCTGTATCGGCATCAGCATATCATATATGCATGTTGGCCTGATACGAATTTTGAACCAAGGTTGCAGTAGTACATTGAATGAATGCATCTTTGGGTGTCACCGCAGACGATTGCTGTGAAGCCTGAGCCAAGCTCCTGTCGACACCACGTGCGAGACCCCGCAGTGGCGTCACATTCATTCATCCATCCTTCCATCCTTCTCATGCACAGGACAACGTACAAGTATTATTGTCGTTCAAGCTTACTGCCGTTGTTCAGGCCGTATTCGCCTACGTACTGCGAGTATGCTGCTCCGAGGGACATGAACGACGCATATGTAGAGCCAAGAAGTAGCAAGCAAGGGCCCAGCACCGGCCAACCCGGCAACAGCTTGCAGAACGCCTATCGTGTAGCGACGGAAGATCTCAGAACACCATGCCAAGCATCTCCGCCTTGTCGGCAGGGCGGGACTCGATCCAACGACATCCCGTACCAGAAACATGCATCTTACTTCTTCGCCTTCCATGGCGGTAGTACAACCGGTCCCGCCCTGTCGTAGAACAGTAAGCAACGCACCTGTATTTAACCGGTGCGTTGTACGGCCTGCCGGTTGTGACAGCTGGTCATGGATATAATAATGTTGTAGTATGCTGCTGCATCGAGCAGAATCTCCTCTCTCTGGTCTTCCCAAATAATAGAATTGGACTGACATAGCAACTATGGGCGGAGTATCAGCTTCGGATCCCGTTATCGAGCGTTTGATTGCTGCAGACAAGATACGATGGTATCGCAAACCCAACCTACGTATGCTGTATCTATGTCTTGTTCCCTTCTGCTTGTGTATCGAGTCTACCTCTGGCTTTGACTCATCCATGATGAATGGCATGCAAGCACTGACACCCTGGCAAACCTTCTTCAACCATCCTACAGGCGGTAGTTTGGGTCTGTTAGTTGCTTGCTACAACATTGGAGCCGTCACAAGTCTGCCATTCATTGCTCTACTGTCCGATCATGTTGGTCGCCGGTGGAGTATCGTCTTTGGAAGTACTGTGATGATTATCGGAGCCGTCATGCAAGGCCTGAGCAAGAGCTGTAAGGATATACAAGAGAACTCCAGAACAGCCAGAGCTGACGTGTATAGTGGCCATGTTTGTATTTGCTCGTATCTTTCTTGGTCACGGAATCGTATATGCAATTGTGGCGGGGTCTGCTTTGTTAGGAGAACTAGGTCATCCAAAAGAACGGCAGTTTCTGGGTTCCCTTTTCAATGCCTTCTTCGGAGTCGGCGCTGTCGTTGGAGCTGGTATTGTCATGCGAACACGTATCATACCCAATGATTGGAGCTGGCGTCTACCCAGTATTCTTCAAGCTCTTCCTTCCACCCTGCAGATCGCATTCGCCTTCACCATCCCAGAGAGCCCTAGGTGGCTCGTTTCCAAAGATAGAGGAGAAGAAGCCCTGAAGATCTTGATAAAATACCACGCCGAAGGCGACGTAACTGACAGGCATGTTCCATCTCGACATCCTGGAAATTGCCACTGACATGCGCAGGCTCCCGTACGCAGAGTATGCCGAGATTAGAAGCGCTCTCGAGATTGAGAACACATCCCGCAAGCGAGGTTACATGGAGCTTTTCCAATCTCGAGGCATGAGACGCCGAGCTCTGATCGCTGCTATGCTTGGAATGTTTACCCAATTTTCTGGAAACACATTGCTTAGTCAGTATCTCGTACCCATCCTCCAAAGCATCGGCATTGGCGACAGCGCAACTCAAGTCAAATACAACGTCGGGACACAGGCTTGGGGGCTCGTAGTCGGAGTCGTGCTTGCTGTCATTACCCCTCGCTATCCGAGGCGTAGAATGTATCTTCTTTGTTCGAGTTTGCTCGTAATCGTTTACACAGGATGGACAATCGCCCAGGCTCGTCAACAAATCACAGGCTCCCCGGTCGCTGGCATAGCTGTTCTTGTCATGATCTTCTTGTACAGTCCAGCGTATTGTATTGGGTACAATGCTCTGACATATGTGTACTTGGTCGAGATCTTTCCATTCTACGTCAGAACCAAAGGCATTACATGGTTCCAGTTCTTCGGTCGTAGTTCCAATCTATTTGGTGAGTTTACCGTGAGTGCCAAGACGATGCAGTACTCATATCCGAGCAGGAAGTTTCTTGAACCCAATCGGACTCGAGAACGCGAAGTGGAAGTACTTGCTCGTCTACGTGTGCTGGCTGTGCTTCGAAGTCGTCTTTATTTACCTATTCTTCCCAGAAACTTACGGTAGGACCCTCGAAGAATTGACCTTTCGTAAGTTGCTCGCCATAATCTAGACTACGCCGCAACTGATCAATCTCCAGTTTTCGAGCAGCAAGATAAGCGTGATGCTGTGGCTAAGAATGCATTGGCTGCTGTCGAGCATATTGAAATGGCTCATGCGGAGCCAGGGAAGAATGTCTGAATGGTACCGTGCAGTCCACTTCGTTGGTTTGTCTATCAACCTTTGTATCCACCAAGCTTCAAGCCAAAATCTTCATAATTTCAGAAGAAGCTTTCGTCCATCTCACTTTGCTGTTTCCGGTATCTGAATGTATCATCCAGTGGTCCACTGTCGTCAAAGTCTTCTCCTTGTGTAAAGCCGTCCGTAGTCGTCAATGCAGGTACAGGCGTCCTACCGGTTAGTATGTCGAAAAGTGAGTCTTCGCTATCGTCAGCACCATTTGGCGTCTCGGGACGGCTGAATCTGAGGATAACATCTCTGCCGATCGGCCACGCAAGAACGTGCCCATGTGCGTCTCCGTATATCAACGCTGGTTTCCTATCACGAGGAGTGCTGAGCCATCGTGCTTCAACCTTCCCCACACTCCTCTTGAATTTGATGTTCAAAGCTTCTGGACCTCCTCCCGTTGATCGCCAGAGATGTACAGCAGGGTCCTCATGCGTATTCTGGATCATGAGAATGCTTGGGTCAGAAGGATTCCACAACAGTTGCTTTATAGGGGAATGCTGGATAATAACGGCTCGAGGGGCCAAGTTTGAGAGATCCCAGATCCAGACTGTGGTTGGAGTGTTTTCATCGCGAGTGGCCACCAAAGTGCCGTCAGCATTAAATGTCGTAATAGATATACCAAGCTTTGCAAGAGCATCGTTAGGTGGTGATGGAGCAGCTGGGGGAGCTATTGGCTGCGCAACTTCGATGTAACTGCGCTCACCAGACGGAGAAACTTGTTCTTGCCACACACCACCATTGGATAATTGGATCGAAGTCGTGTGCTCAAGAACAATAACTGGAGAGAACTAGTAAAGTCAGTCGAAGGCAATGAAGTCCTGAGTAAGAGCTCACAGTGCGTGCATTCAGCAAAGTTACACGTTTGTCGTAACCACTTATAGCCAGATAGTCGCCCCGAGGGCTCCAGTCTACACTACGAGCTCCAAGTCCCTCGAGATCTCCTTCCGGAGCGCCCCCATACATTCTGTATAGATGCCCGTCGGCCGTATAGATGTAAACGCGGTGCCCTACGCTGGGTGTATCCCATACCGCCAGCCATTTGCCATCGGGGCTCCATTTCATGCCTTGCGCATCAACCGTATTCAAGGTGATCGTTTTGATGACAAAGTACGTCTGCGGCGCATGTAAAGTCACTGTATCTTGCGCATTCGGTCTGGACAGAACTGTAAATTCAGAAGTCTTCGGCCGATACCCATAGCCTCTCGCTGTCACGAACTTTGGATCTTTGATCTCCACGGTCCTGCCATGCGACAGGGACCACACCGTGACTTTGGACGCAAAGTCTGAGAAGACAACAACTTCCGTCTCAGTCCTGCCAAAGTCTGCGTTCACGACTTTGCCCATGCCCGCGCTGCCATTGTTGATCGTGCCGTTCCATTTTCGGTCTCGGAGGTCCCACACTCGTACATTATCCTCATCTGCCACCAGTATACGGTTCGAGGACGGTCGGTCTTTCGTTTTGGGAGACCAGCGCAGGCACAAAAAGCGTGAGTTGCCGTCCTGGGGAACAACAAAGTTGTGTATGACTTCTAGCGAATTTGTAGATCGGATTTGGAGACGGCCGCCGTTCAGCGTAGCAATGTGTGCATTGTCCGGCGAGCACAGCGGATGATGTGAGCCTGAGCGTAATTAGTCGTTGCACTTTGCGTTGTCATTCAGGTTCTCACTTGAATATTGGTCTGAGACCTCCATTGCTAATTTCTGGTAATTAATTGAGGCCGCGGGAGACGCGACTTATGCTGGGCCCTCGCGAAGCATTGGTACGCGGGGTGTCATGATCAAATATTCCTAACAGCGTGCCAGAATCTACTTGACGACAATCCGTTTGTCCATAGTTACATGGGAAAGCTTGGCGCCCGATGCACGTCTATGCCACCAACACGCGTTTTTATATATAATTAACATTTTACGGCATCGTCAACGAATACTCATATACCTATTAAAATATCTATTATATATTAGTATTATATAATATTAGCTATATATTAGTATTTTTTTTAACTATTTTACGCTATCTATTATACCTTCTAAGTAGTATAAAGGTATTTGATTTAGATAGAATAACTTAATAGAACCTCTACTACTACCTTCTAGGCTATAGCTATATATATCTATATTAAAGGCGCTCTAGTATAGTATAGATAAGGTATTAAGGGCTACGAAGATAGCGGCGAGGTATAAAAATATACTACTAGCGCCCTCTAACATACCCTTATTAAGCGATCCTCTAGCCTTACTAGATGATATATCTAATAATACTAATAACTCTACTTTAGTTCACGGAGATATAGTTAAGGAGAAGGAGAAGAAGAACCTATAGAATAATAACGCGGCTCTTAATAAGATAATATAGTCTATCTATATAAATTAGTAACTTAGAGTAGATAGTTTTAGAAAGATTATTAAGGCTATATTACTAAAGACGGAAGCCTGGTATAAGTTTAAGAAGGAGTTATATAAGGAGGAGATTTAGTAGTTAATTAATAAGGCTCTCGGTACTAATAACTAGCTATTTAAGACTCGAGGCTTTACTATAAAGCTCGGAATATCTAGTTATACTAGGAAATAGTTAATACTTCTAGACTAGAGTCTAGATAACTAGGATAAGCTTCTTACCTTCCTTAATAAGATCTATAGCCTAGTAAGAAAGGATCTACTAGAGGCTATATTCCTTACCTTTAAGGATATTATTATCTATAAGTCTTATTAGCTACTAGAATATAAGAAGGCTATAGTATCTAATCCGAAGTCTCCTACGCCATTACTACTTACTAGTATAGTTTCTACTAGTCTAGTATTATCGCCCGTAGATCTAAACCTTAAGAGATACTTAAAATAGCTATTTAAATTATAGGAGGAGCGAAGATAGCAAGGCCGTAACCGAAGAGTTATTATTAATAATATTTAGAGTAAGCTCTAGTATAGTAAGGCGACGTATATAAACTACTAAGGTTAGTACTATAAGATTATATTATCTAATAGAATACTCTACTATAAGATAGATAAGACTATCTTAGAGCTATAGACTAATAATATTATTAACGGTATTTAAGGCGTAACTAAGGATAAGCCGTCGATAGACTTATTCTATAAGATTATTACTTAACCGTGCCTAAGGAAGTCTTAAACTAGTAGTAGAACTAGTATCTCGTTAACCGCTATTAACGGAAGTACTACTTCTATACTTAAGCGCCTTAAAATAAAGAGATTACGACGTAAGGAGGCTAAGTTAGATTATAAGAAGTGGAATACGAGGCTTTAAGATAAGTAGATAAGATAGACGATAATTAAGCGTGAGGAGACGGTAGTAAGATATTATTAAGATAATAAAGATAAGCTCGCGTATACTTAACTACTTCGTTAGATAGAATTATAGTATTATAGGTTTAATTCTATAATGCCTATATAGATACCTACGTTTCCTTAACCTTAACCTTAATCTCGCCCTCTATCTACTTATAGTTTAAATTATTCGTCGACTTATAAGACTCGTTATAAAATACCCCCTTAGACACGAGTTATAGAAACCTTTAGTAGTCTAGTATAACTAGGGCGTTACTAGGCGGATATAGTACTATTAGCTCTTAAATAGCGTAAGAAGATAGAGACTTATACTAAGATAAGGGCTAGGATATACGAATTAAGACTATACGTAGATAATAACTACTATACTTACCGCTATATTAAGGAGATAACTTAGTCTAGAACTACTTATTATAAAGCCGCGAAGTGTAAGGAGGCGGGCTCCATATACTAACCAACTATACTAAAAGGACCGAATCTTAAAGCTACTACTTCAAGGGTAGAGTACACTACTTATATACGACTACTATATACATGTAGAATCAACTAGTAGGCCACGTGCTCCTCACGTGCCTAACACGAAGATAGTAGATGTTCTACTTAGTATTCTACTAGACGTATATCTATACCTTTATAAGTATAAGGAGTAACTTAAGGTAAGCGAGGCGGCGTTCTCGCTCTAGGCGTTTACTATAACTAGTATAACTAGTATTGTTAGGACTTAGCCTTAGGTAGGACCCGATCTACACGTACCTTAGCTAACAGGGTTAGGAGGTAACGTAAAGGGCGGTAAATAGTTACATGCTAGATAGATCGGCGTCCCTTTATATATATACTCTTAGATTTCTACCGAAAGAGTTCGGTAGTAATTCGTTCTATAATAGAATACACCCTATTGTTCTATCTAACTATACTACTATTCAATAACCCAATTCTTACAAGTATTTAGATAGGGATAGTATAGTGTTTCTTAGAGTATATTTAGGAGTATATATTTATATATTAAGGCTATATACTTAACGAATAGTACCTAAAACGGATATATATATAGACTATTACTAGCTAGCTAAGTAACTTACTTGTCGGTAAGTTAGTAACGAGTAAGTTACTCGACGAGTTCGTAAAAAAGTCTCCTAATCTCCTTAACTTTAGTAACCTCTCTACCACCTCTACCTTATCTAAACCTATAAGAATAGGGTTATTAGATAGTAGTATAGTTAGATAGAATAATAGGGTGTATTCTATTATAGAATGAATTACTACCGAACCCTTTCGGTAGAAATCCGAGAGTATATATATAAAGAGATACCGATCTATCTAGTATATAACTATTTACCGCCCTTTATATTACCTTCTAACCCTATTAGCTAAGGTACGTATAGGTCGGGTTCTACCTAAGGCTAAGTCCTAATAATTATCCCTTCCCTCTAGGAAGCTGCCCTTAGTAACCTAGATCGTTATCTATCTCTATATCCCTATTCTAAGTCTCGTAAGACCTTAGTCGTTCTCTATACTTCGTCTTAGATACTTACTAATATTTACTAATCTAAGATTTATATAAGTGTTTTCCTAATAAACTAGATTTTATCTATCTTAACTTCTTATATAGGTAAGATTACCTAATTAGGCCTAGCGTATCACGTAATATAATTAGATAAGCCCGGGTACTACCTATATTAAAATCTTTTCTTAGAAATATTCCTTTCTTTAAAAAACTTCTTAACTCTTTATAGAGTTTTTTAGATTATTAGATATATCACCCGATTCTTATAGATATAGATTTATATAGATTTACTATAATTTAGTATAATTTACGTAATTTACTAATTTTTATACCATCCTTAGCTAGTAATAATATAATTTATAATAATCCGTATAAATTAGTAATAATTATAATATAGTTTCCTAAAATCTTAATACTCTAAAGTAATCGGCGCGGAAATAGGCGCCTTCGAATAATCCCTATCTTATATACGTTACTAATATATTAAAAGCTATTAATCTACCCCGACCTAGGCCGGGCTCTAATAATCTAGCTATATATTATTATAGTTATTACTTTCCGTTATATATTACTCACGGTAGTACTAAATCTATAATATACGGTACTTATATAACTAAGAAGCGTTATTACTTATAGGTATTTAAGTAAGTTCGAAGAACTTTATATAGATTTACTTATATTAGTATAGATTACTACTAGGCCTCTAGTAACCCCTACTAATAAGGAGCGTAGTACTACTAATCGTAACACCTTAGAGAAGGCTTTCTACGAGCTATATACCTAAGGTAAGAGTTACGCCTAGGAGTACGATTCTAATAAGATCCGTAAGGATTTATTAGAATCTACTATAGCTATTATTACTATAATTACTAGATAATATCGTTTTTCTTAAATTATTATAGATTCTTACTAATATATATTAATCTCTATAATAGTACTAAAATCTCTACTACTTCGGACTTCTTTCTATATACTAGCGATATTAAAATTCCTAGAAAAGGTTCTAGTAAAAAGGCTAAGGTTCCTTTCTCGCGCGTGCTAAAGAGCTATAAATTTAGAGAAGATAGCTCTAATCTAGAAGTTTCTATACTAAAGGTATATGGTTCTATACTAATCGTTAAATCTTTTCGCTAATTTATATAATTCTTAGCGTGCCCACGCCGGTCCGTCTCTCTCTATCCTAGGTCCTACTACTCTATAGGTTTCTATAGAGGAGTTTATAGCTATAAGGCGTACTATATAGAATTTATAGCGTCGGAACGAAAGGCTAGAGACTTATATTATAAAGCTCTATACTATACTAAATAAGAACTAGTGGAAGGAATTAGATATAACTATCGCGGTAATTAGTACTTCTACTTCTACTCTAACTTAATCGGTTTAGATCTATACTAATTAGTACTAATATATCTCTTTTATCTAGTATTTTTAGTTTTTTAGTTTTAATTTTAAAGCGATCTTACTTCTTCTAGATAGATTAGTACGAGTTTATATAGATCTATATAGATCTTTATATTTTCTTTTAGCTTTCTTAATTTTATCTTTCTTTAATAATAACTTCTTTCTATACTACATCTATAAGAGAGGCGTTCCCGACACCTCCCTATGGTGTAAGGCGTACGGCCGGAGAGGTATAATACGCTACTATCTAGCTATATACCCTAACCTCCATATATAACGGTAATGGCTTATCTATGTTATAAAGACTTTAGATATTACACGATAGCTTAATAAGTACCCTAAGGATATCTCCTAATAGATACTTATATATCTACTACTTCTCTAGTACTAGTAGACCCGGAAATATATACCGGAAGAGACCCGGTATACGCCGGTAGTAACCCGATATATACCGGAAGAACCCTAGGAGAACCTCGATTATTAG